TCAACAAGGGTTCGCTTCTTCCCATCGATGACATTGTACTCGACGCCGGAGAACACGGACTCTGGCCATCGCGACGGTGAGAGGAGGAAGGAGGAAGAAAGGGTTGGACGGTGTGACGTAATTGCGCGCCTCTTGGAAAATAACGGAGGTGAAGCGGATGGGGGATGATGGCGAGAGGTGATTATTTCCAATGATCTCGTTCCTGGGTTTAATCCAACCGTTCCTCGAGTTCGGTTATTTTGCACCCTCTTCTGGATTATTTTGTTGGGATTTGTCTATTTGGAAATGTCGAGAAGGAGAAGACTGATACGTCGCGATAAAGAATTTTCCAAAAGGGGTTCTCCAATAAATAAATTATGTAATAAAAGTAGTCTTTCGATAAAAAAAATATTGCGACGAGCCAGTGTTCAGGCTCTGTCGCTTCGAAAGGAAAGGGAGGAGGCAGATAAACGTAATGAAAGATATCGAAAAAGGGTGAATCACAGGGGAGGCGAACGCGTGATACTAGTAAAAGCAGGGTAACGATAGTTACACCCCTCCAGCGTGCAAAAAAAACACAAGAGGGATGGGAGTAGAGAAAAATAGAGGGAATGAGCGATGTATCGCAACGATTACAATCTCTCCCTCCTTGTTTCGGGAAATGTAGAAAAAAGGAGTGGCGAGAGATACAATGGTTATAACCTGTCTTTCATTTACCCTCACTCTTCGTCTACTCTTTCTATCGTTAATCTTGCCTGTGACTTTTCACCGTTGTTCTTTGAAGAACTTCTCGTTCGATGTTTACCCAGGAAAGATTGAAAGGAGATCGTAAAGCTTCTCTTTCTGACTCGATTTCCCCCTACCAAAATACGTTTGCACTCGTCCCAGAATTGTTTTCTTTTCTAAGCGTACACTAGGATGCGATTTCGGTTTTATTTCGTCCACCTACGTGCTCGTATCTTTCATTACCCCCCTCCGGGTATATTGGCTAGACAGATTGAATGATCCAAATGCGGGAGAAAAAAAAATTTATGATCCCCTGTCCGCGGAAATATCCCTATTCAGCGGCGATGTCATAGGCCTGAGATCTGGGGCAAGATCGAATTTCAATATCAAGAGCAATCAAGGGCTGGGGATTTTACGAACGACTCGGAGACATTAAATTTTAACGAATCCGCGGACGGAACGAAACGCTGCCGTTGATATTATCGATGCACGGACCAAGCCAAGTCTGCACATGCGACACATTGTTTTATGGGAGATTTTTTAGTAACTTTGCGGCACGGACGCGGTTTTACAACTTGTTGCCGCATTTTGTATTGCGACGAGTTTCCGTTAAATATTCAGCATCTCATTATTGGTAATCTTAGCGCAGGCTGGGCCAAACCATGTCGAGTTTTTAATATTTTCAGCAGCAGTGAAGAATATATTAGCCAAGCGAGGTAATTGTGATAGGATATATATGTGCTTCTACTTGTTATTAGATATTCGAGAAAGAAAAAATCGATTTTAAGGAGAATTAATAGAAGCACAGTTTCTTCAAACTTTAACCATGTTAACGTAAGGCACTTAAATATTATTATATTCTCCATTGCTACTTAAAATATTTTCTGCACGACACTATAACACTATGCCAGTCGAATTGAATTCGCAGCCCACCGAGCCTTTTGGGGTAGCGTGACAGTGAAACAAAGCTTCTAGTATCGTGACGATTCAATTGGGTTTGCGATAGTCCAATACGGAGACCACACCGCGAGTGTTTAACAGCGTGACAGTCTAATTGAGTCCCCAGTCTTGGGCGATAGTCGCGCTTTCTTACCAGCGATTCGCCACGTCTGACTTTTCGCACCGTGACAGCCCCGATGCGTCTATGACAGTCTAATAGTAGTCTAATTGAGTTTCCAGCGGGCATGCCTAGCCAATTAATTCGCGCTAGGCACGATTCCACTGATTATTTTTACCAACGCGTCAGACCTAATGGATTCACGGCGACAAAGTAAAAAAAAGCGACTCTCGAGAAGAAAATGATGAAATTAGTAGTATTAACATGTTTAACTATCTTGCGTAACTCGTGGGCAACTAATGCGGTGTTCTGAGAGCGATGATTTTCTAATTTATCACGGGTAGTATGCGCAACACATTATTTTAGTAGACTGGGCCATCAGGTGCAATAACTAATCTATTAAAGATTAAGCATTCAAATAAAATGAAGTACAAACAAAATTATTATTTCAACAAGCATCTATTTATGCTGACTTTTATCTATGCAAAAAGATAAATTCATTTTTGTTCAAGCCTCCCAATTAATTTTAATAAATCTTCACTTACTGAAGCATAACTTAAGCAATAGAAATCTAGTCAAGCTAGCGTCGAATAAAAATCCATTTAATATTCTTCGAGGTAAACGTCTACTATCTCGAAGTGGGAACCCATCCCTAAGGATTCCATTTCAGATCGGACCCTGTAAAAAGATTCATTCCGTTGATCGCGGCACTTAGGCGACAAGTTCGACGATATCGACACGCTGTTAATTCCAGCTGTCCTTCCGCTCAGGTTCGCCCGCAAAGCGATAACCTACTCCATCGCTAATGGCGGACATTATTACGAGCAACTCGGAGAACTTCCCCTCGCGTCCACCTATTCCGTGTGTATAGAACGACGATGCGTACTTATCTTCAATCCCTCGGCCGTGTGATCGAAACGCAGGGTAAAGTAACTTACGGCTGTAAGCGTGTATCGATTGCGGGTGAGACGAGGGACAACTGACAAGTAAGCTGCCCCTGGTAAATAAATTAAAGGGCGGGAATGCTTGACACTGCATCAAGGATCTTCGATCACACGGTGGCCCGCTAAGCCTGGAAGTCGCTAACTAGAAATAGGTTGATTCCCTCCGTCCAGACTAGTTTAAATTCCGAATATATTTCGAAGAAACCTCCGTTACGAGCGATCGATGCCAAGGATACCATGTTTCGAGCTGGCTTGGATTTGTGAATGTGAAAGGGCCTGTATGTTTTTAATTTTTACTTTCGAAACTAAATGTTGTATGAATGAACTATAAATAGAAAAAAAGTTTCGTCTTATTTTTCTTTGTAAGGTCTTTTCAATTCAACCGTGACAGAATCTCACCCCTGTTCGCAAAACGAGGAAGAAAACGCGAGAGAAAAGAAAAGACAACGAAGCAACGCGTGTTTGTTGAGCAAGGTTGAAAAAAATCTGCGGGTTTTTTTAAATATACGTCTCACACCGGCGGCTAGACCTGTCGATGCACGCCGGAGGCGTGAATTCCGCAAAATTGAAGCTTCGCTCCTCAATTAACCCCAGGGAAAAGGATGATGCCTCGCTGGGAAAAAACAATTGATACGATCTCGTTCGCACCGGCATTGCACCGCGCGAAACGCATTCAGCTTTAAAATCGTTCATCCTCTCTCCCACTGGCGGCTTTTACCACCCCTGGGCCACCCTTTCCACACCCTCGCAACCGATATTTTCGTCCGTAGCCGGTCGCGTAACACGTGGATGGGCTCCGCAACTCGAAACTTTCGAGCACTCGCGATTCATCGCGATTGATCGCTCCACGACGATTACCCACCCCTCTCTAACATCTCTCTAGTTGCTACTGTTTGCCCGTTTATTCCAAGAATCGCTTCGCGGGATCCATCTTCCCGTGAAACACCGCGTGGGAAGCAGGGTAACATCGGTGATCGACAGTTCAAGCTTAAACATCGAAAAGTTTACGATAGTGAGGGGGAGTTTATTGGTGAAATGGAAGAGCGAAAACTGCTGTGTCGCGTTAAAGAGCCTCGGGATGCTTAGGCGAAGGTACGCCAATAATGAAAAGCATTTCGTGACGACGGATCGGTCGGTGACGCGCGTCGTGAGTTATTAACGACACGCGATCAATAGTTAATGGACGCGTCCTATTCCTACGATTATAGTATTACGTCTTCGTGCTCTTCTTTGAAGTCAGAAATCTACAGGGTTGTTCCCTTGAATATGTCCTGTCTTTTTGCATTCGTTTCGCCGAAGTTTCTGGATGATTCCCACGCTAATTCTCCCCTTTCCTCCTCGCTAAGCAATTCCCCTGACCATTCTCTCTGTTAAACTTTCCGCTTATATTTCCTCCTCATCCGTCATTCATTTTCCCGATGGTTCTCTTGCCTCGCCACTCTCCGCGCTTCTCTTTTTCTTCCTTCCTCCCTCGTTCCACCTCTCCTCCCCCAGCACGTATTCATTGCACTTATTCTTATAAATCAAATGAAAAGGATGGACGGGACGCGATCGATCACTTTCTAATGGGTCACGGTATTATTTTGTTCCGAATGGAGCGACGTTTTCGTTTGTTAAATTGACTGTAGGTTTTATTTTATTTGTCGAGCAACACGAAAGTTTGTTTGAAATTTGTTTAGAAAACTTTTAGGACTGATTCAGTTCAGACCTAACCCAGCCCTTCATTGTCTAGATCTAGACGTCTACGATGATCTAGGACGTCCCTAGAAACGCGAAAGAACTCCTCCCACTTCTTAACGAGTAACCTAATCCTCGAGTAATTACATTCAGACCCGAGTCGAGATTTAAACTTATCCCGTCCGCTAAGCGGCCGATATCGATTTCGGTATAATCGATTCGATAAAATTAATAAAGAGCTTCTGGTAAGCTCCTTACTCTCTGATAAACGAGACCCGAAGCAGTCCGCAGGGGTTCAGAGGTGAGGGTGGAGGGACGCCGCAGTATTTCGCGTGTATGGTTCTATATTTGTATCGACGATAATGTAATTACGTTCATGTTCGATTTCATGACAACTGGGAACAGCCAGCGATCGGTGTACAAGGCGATGGGTTACGTTAACCATCCGTTCTTCGTTTCATTAATGCGACTCGATCGATGAATACGTCGTTCGAAACATTAAAAGCAGAGTTGCACCCTCTTTCTTTTAAAATATGTCTGCTGTCAAACTACGAGGATCGTTCCAACGAGGAGTCCTAGGTTCCTAGATAAAATAAGGTTTAATTAACAGCTCTAACCTTTGGTTCCAGATCAGCCAGCTGGTCGAGGAGGTGTCCAGGTTACAGCAGAGCCTGCAACGTCTCCAGGAGACCAGTGCACAGGCGACGGCGCGGCTGGAGGAAGAACTCGAGGCCCGCAGACAGCACATCAGCAGACTGGAGAGCAAACTGGAGCGACAGAGGGACTATGACGACCTGAAACGGGAAATTAACGCACTGAGGTCGGTGGACCTGTCGCAGATTCCCACAGGCGAGCCTGGCAAGAGCTTGGAACACCTTCTGATGGAACGCTCGAAGGCGCTCCAGCAAACAGAAAACTTGAAGCCAACCAATACTCCCGACGCGCTCGGTAAGTCCTTCGAATCAATCTTTCCTCCAAGCATTAGGCCTCGCGAACTGTTCGATGATCGCTTGATCGATCTGATTCGCGTCCAAGGATCAGTCGAGATTAGGCGTATCGGCTGATCACCGTACAAGCTGTCCGCTTTAGATCAGGAATTGTTAGAGAATTGCTAGTAGCTGGACACTCTCTAGCAAGGTAGACACGAGATATCGTTACGACCCTTCTAGTATTACGGCTACTAATTCCTGCGCTAAAGCTCTGGTCTTCGATCCCCGACTCTCTCTCTCTTCGAGGCTACGTCGAAGGACTCGGTATCGAGTAACAATATAAAGGACACGAGTCACGCAACGCGGACGCTTTTTATAAAGAACGAGGGATGACTGAAGGAGCTTACCGAGAGAAAAGGAACAACAAAGTAACTCTGCTTGCCACTGTGTTCGCATTTCTTTTCTAACTATCTTTGTATCTGACCCTTCTATCTCTCTTCTTCTCCCAAACCGTTATCGTGGATCTGTTTCTCTCGTCCTCGTCGTTTCTACACTTTCGTCCTTCTAATTTCACCGTTCTGCCCTCTCACATCTCTGTGTTACTCTCTCTCTTTCTCTCTCTCTCTCTCTCTCTCTCTCTCTCTCTCTCTCTCTCTCTGCCTGTCTCTCCGAGATCCTCCACTGCTTAGATTGCACTTTTTCCGAGCTACTCTCTCGCTGGTGCGCGCATCAACCCTCGCAAGGAGGTACTAACATAATCGAGACCTGCACGTTAACCCCCGGTGCCTCTTACCAAACATGTCATCGACACCGTGATCATCCCCCCAAAGCCCGCCCCCGAACCTAGCATCACCCCGAGCTCCCACTACGAACGTCTGCACGCTGGGAAACGCAAAAAAAAAGAAAAATAAAAGAAACCTCGTACACGCAAATTCGTGGACGATACTCGGAGCATTTCTCCAGGCCGAAGCGTTGTTTCGGGGCCAGAGTTTATTGCAAATCGATCGGGAATGACACGGAATGAGAGAGCGAGAGAGAAGCCGCGTGTTCACGGGCAGAGAAAGAGGTCCAACCGTACTCCGTCCACCCCGTATTCCCACCCCGAAATTTCGCGACTTCTCGCTGTCCTTCGGAAAACGTCGAACACCTTTCCACCTTCACGGAGCGAAATCGCTTTGTTGTTAAAAAAAAAAAAAAAAAAAAAAAGAAAAAATACATACTACGGACTGGTGTTCAGTCTTTCACGGACGATATCTCCGAGAAAAGCCGATCGGAACGCGACGGAAAGGATTTTCGAGATGACGAGGAACACTGAACCCAGTCGACCGACACGCGACACTTTTCCTCTCGTTGGGCCGCCGTTGTTCCTCGTTTGTGTGGATCACGCGACGAAGCGTCGAAAAAAAGAGAGTCTCGGTCGTCCAGGAGGCTACCATGAGGACTTTGGACGCCGGATGTCCGAAATGAAAAAGGGAATTCGAAACCGTGAACCATTAGATCGACCGCGATCTGTGTGTGTGCGAGCTCGTGTTGACGCGGTCCCTTGTGTTTTTGGTGGTTGCAGGTGGACTATCGTCACCCCTGCAGCGCGCCTCGACCGCCTCGCCCCACGGGGTCGGGGGTGTACCGCCTTCGTCCCACGTGTCCTCCCAGCAACCACCGCCGCCGCCCCCAGCAGCAGTTTCCCTCCCACCGCGTTCCACACCGACACCGTCTTCGGCTACCTCGACGACGTCCAGCCTCCTCTTCCCACCTCCTCTCCAGAACGTCGAGACCTTCGGCTCCTTCCTCGGCGAAGAGATCGTCGCCAACTGGAGGCGGACGTTGGAGAGGTCCATCATGAATCAGCAGCAACAACAGCAACAGCAGCAACAACAACAACAGCAGCAGCAGCAACAACAACAACAACAACAACAACAACAGCAGCAGCAGCAGCAGCTTCAGCCGACTTCCTTGGGTCAATTGGCGCAGCAACAGCTACAGCAAGCTCAACCGCTGATCGGTCTGCACCCTCCGTCTACCACCAGTAGCATAAATCATCTTCCATCGCCAACGGACCCGTCGTCCAGTTCGAACACGCCAGCCAAATCGAATACCCCGTTAGGAACCACTCCACTGAGTTGCCTTGATGCCGCCGAAAAGGCTCCGACGCCTGTGTCGGGCCACGAAACGCCCGCACCACCAACGCCGTCTTCGACCACCGCGTTAACGTCACCCCCGAGCTTTCAACCGCCCACGACGATGATCGAGACGATCGCATCTTCGGCGTCCGTGAACGGCGGTAGCATGATACCGGCCGTCCCGACGGCACCGCCACCAAAGAGTCCAGCGGACCAGGACTCTTGTCACAATAACAACAACAGCCATCATCTGGCCAACAACAACATCGGAGGTCTGAGCGTGCTGGATACCCTGAAGAGCCCGTTTCGCTTCGACGACAGAACGCATCCGTTCAGATTCGGCGACGAGTATGGCGCCGCGGGTATGGCTGGTCGACTAGGCGAGTCGCTTATCCCTAAAGGCGACCCCATGGAGGCCAGGCTTCAAGAGATGCTGCGGTACAACATGGACAAGTACGCGTCGCAGAATCTGGACACCCTGCACATAGCCAGGAGAGTCAGAGAGCTGCTCTCGATACACAACATCGGTCAAAGGCTGTTCGCCAAGTACGTACTCGGGCTGAGCCAAGGCACCGTCAGCGAACTGCTGAGTAAACCGAAGCCGTGGGACAAACTGACGGAAAAAGGTCGCGACAGCTACAGGAAGATGCACGGCTGGGCTTGCGACGACAACGCTGTACTGCTGTTGAAATCCCTGATACCCAAGAAAGGTGAGTACGATCAGTTTCCAGCTGTCTCCAGTCTTCCCGTCGTTGTACACCTACGAATCACTTCTATCAAGCGGCGAAGATCAAACGTCCGCGAGATGAAACGGGACCTCGTAATTACACCTTCGGGTCTAATTGCTCGAGGTGAAACAACGCGTGATTTATTTCTAGTAACAAGGCTGATCAGATTTCTGACCAGCGAATCTTGGAAACGCTGCAACACGACGCCCAGGCTCGATGTTGCAGCGGCCGCCGAGTAATTACGTCCGCTTCTTCTTTTGACACGGCATCGACAGGTTCGCGCGCGGACTCGGAGGGGTTCGGCGAACCTGTCCATGATCTCGTTGACGTTTCAACTTCGCCGCTGACGATTTTACCGTTTTACTCCTAAGAATATCTTTTCTGCCTCGCACTGCCAATAATCTGTTCTGCCGAACCACTAACCATCAGCTGTCAGTTAACTTTTTTTCGGCTGTCTAATACGGGTGTTACTGGTGTCTCTATTTGTCCTTAACTATACCGCGGAGATTCGCGTAACGTTCGAACCGGAGGTCGATTCCCTCTATACGAATGCTACTGAATCGATTCCCGGTGTAGCCATGCGTTGGTGACGTCGTGAGCTTTCCCTGTCGTTCGAACAACGTTCGTAGAACACGAAGAATTTACTACGACTCAAGACTCCGTTGGAGTAATATAAGATAAGGATAAGGCTTCCAACTGTAAGATACAATTAACTAGCTTTTTCAAGTGGTTTCTTCTTCGATATCAATGTCATTCGACCCTTGAAGAAGCTAGCTGGTACCCTATCCGAAGAACAAGGAAGCCCGGGTCGAAGTAGGATTTTTCAGGTCACTTGCAATTTCGTTGCAACGCTAAACAGGTTAGAGGTATCTCGTTAGGTTACTTTAGAAAGTCAGGGCTGTATTCCAACAGATTTGGGAATCCCGAGCGTTCCTGCATTACAGCGAACCGCGCAACAGGCTGCTTCGATTCGAACGCCTCTGCGGAGCACAACGTTTTGACGTCACAGTGCAATAGACCAAAGCTTGAACGAATGTTCCATTAGAAGAAAAAGAAAAGCGCGTAGCTAAGGAAATTTCGAAGCGAAAGATCGTCAATCCGTCACGTGTGATCCTGATGCACCGATGAACAACAACCCGGCACTGTAAATCTGATTGAGCGACGCGTGGCATCTCAGGGTATTAAACGAACAGCCATCGCGGTAAACATTCGAGAAACTCGGGAGCGGAGTTAGGCGCGCGTGACGCAAAACAGTTGGAAGATGACGTTCGATTTTGGCTTTAATAGTCTTAATTAAATTATACAGCTAGTTGGCTCGCCAAGCCTGCTATCGATTGTTTGCTGCGTTTGGCAGCCATATTGTTTAGACTAATAGCTCCTGGGAGTAGGGAACCGGGGGGATGAGTTCTAGGCAAGGGTGCAATACGCGAAGGGTTCCATCGCGGAAAGGAGGATGAGAATGGAAGGGGAGTAAAAGGAAACAGGGTCCAAGAGAGAGACCACAGACGTTCCAGATCCGTCTGCACTTATCGCGAAGGTAATTTACGCTTTCGTTGGATCGCCAAGGGAACGCCACTGTAGTTCCACAGGAAATTATCCTGACAATCTTAGCTGATTTCGTTTGTTAACGGAAAAATACGTTTGTAAGCAAGTGTTGATGAAAATGCAACCACGTTGAAAAGATCTCGACGATCGAGACTCGTAGACAAAGTGCCTTTTCTTATTCGACTATAGCCTTTGACACGCAACCAACCCTAGTCTAATACGATCAATTCCTAGAAGAATAGAATGCAGAAAGAAGTCGAGTCGAAAGGGTTACACTGACTTTTCATGAACCCGTAAATACCCTCTGCACAAAACATTCGAAACGAGCGACGTCCGTTTATCATATCCTCGTTCTCCTTCGGTCCGTCAGATCGACCGCGTCTGACCGTTAATTTCCAATTCCACTTTATTTCGTTTCACTTACCGTTTCTGTAACACGGGCATTGTTCGCGTACCACGGTGCCTCGCTTTTTCACCAGCTCAAGGTCGTGCTCGTCAAACCGCTGCCCCTTTCATTTATTGTAACGATTCCTCCGTCCGCGTCGCCCCGCCGCTGATCGTTTCCTGCTTTCTGTAAATATTAATACCAATGAGAGAGGATGTCGAGCGTCATGAAGGGGGGCATCCATGTCCGGCGCGCGAAAAATAAAACTCGTATAAAATATTCAATAATTCACGGACGAAGGGAGGAGTGGGAGGAGGTCACTGACAACGCAGACGTCGTGCATCAATGGATTGTCGGTTTCCGTCGAATAGCCGACAATGATAATTATGCTTATTGCGACGGGGAGAAGGGAGGGGAAAAAAAGAATTGCAACGCGTGCACAGATGGATCAAGTGACGAAGAGGGGGAAGAAACGGTGGATGGGATTTCCTCATGTGTTCGCTTAAAAATTATAGAAATTCTGCAACGATCCCTCGCCGATGATTAATCCTAAAAAGATAAAGAGTAAACGGGAACTCGTCGAGTCGGAAAATCTTCCCAAAAAGCACACGCGAAGATCTATCTTCCCGTGATAGTATCAGAGTCGAAAATGTATTCAAATTTACGATAGCGTCGCCTCGTATGAGACTCGAAGCCCTGGGCTGAAAGTTATTTGGGAAACAAAGCCTAGATGTTGTTTATTCGACTCATCGAACTTGATTCCGGGAATCCACGACGCGTAATCCCTACCCTCGGTTAACAAACGGAGTTTCGTAAATTTTCGTGACGAACGGACAGCAGGTTTAAGGAATAATTTTAGTTATGAAGATTTGCTGAACTGTACCGCAAAAATCACGCGAACCAGTAATCCCCTGACAAATGCGCCTGGACAGTGGCCCAGTATTCGACGAGGCACGTTCTCAACGTTTATTATTGCCCGTGAGCGGTGCAATACAATTGATCTAAGCACGGCTGGGTCCAAGAGCAACGCACCGCGAGATTACCGTAATAAAGATAGTTGGTGCCGGTCCAACTCTGTTTATCGCGGAAATTTCTTTCTTGCAATTACACACCAGCTTCTCCGGGAATTCAACCGCTATGAACTCTCATTCTGATCCTAACGATGCCAAATGAAGAAAGAAAATAATCGAAGTTAACACTTTACCGATTGGTAAGGATTAATCGTCTAGTTTGCTAAGATTGAATGCTCTCGTCTTTACTGACTATCAATCAGTAAAGCGTTAAATAAACTTGTGAGTTTATACAGCAATTGGAATACGTTTCCACAAACAGATCACTATCCTATTTTTTAAATTTAAATTCCACGTAGCTGTATTCGCTCAATTGCTCGATTAGTTTCAGTTCTTCGAGTTACTCGAGCTAAAATCTCTGTGATTCTTTTTAATTCCGCGACCCTTCGAAGCGTGCTTCATTTATCGAAACCCGAACACGCAAGGCCACAGCCATGGGAATCTAATTGTCCGATTATAATTGTAAAGTTGTTCTGCTGTGCGGCTTGAAATATGCTTGTTATTTCCTCCTCGCCGCGAGAACCGCCTAAATAAATTGGAATGTAAAATACAGAAAGCCAAGGGAGCGCGAAGGTTCGAGAGTTCGTTCGATAAATACTCGTAAAAGTTTCGAAGCAACCGATCTGTAAAAATAGTGAATCGCGAAAATTGGCATCGGTTTCACGTGAAACTCTAGTCGAGGCACATAATTAACGCATGATCGTAATGTTCATTGACCCAATCCGTAAGAGATAAGCGTTATCAGTGCCCGATTGTGATTACAAAACCGACTCCGTACACTGTAAAATGGATGAACGAGTGGGAGGGCTCTCGGCGTGATCGACCGAACGATTTTTACACGAAAACGATATTTAAGAACACGTAACACCGCCTGAAACGACTTCGATGCTTCGCCAACTATTTCATTCAAAAATATTCACCTCCACCGCTTTCGACTACTCCGTTTTATTCAATTTTCTCTAATGAGGCACCAAGAGGAGCCCATCGATAATTTTGCACGAACAAAGATGACCGCTCTGAAATTTGGCTGAACGCGTCCTCGCGACTCTTATGGGGCCCCGATTCAAAGAAGGAACCCCTACGGTGGCTCACAGACGCGTATTTCACCGTCAATTAAATGCGCTATACGCAGCCACGCACATCTTTTCACGTGCAGGGGAGAAAGACCGACGCACACGAGCCCAACGCGAAAGAGTTACGTTCATTAGCGAGACCACTCTGGTTCGTATACCGATTTTATCAGATTTTCTGTCCCGGCTGTATCCTTCCGCCTCCCGACGCCTACTTTGCGCGAGCGCGCGGCCCTTGTCGTCGTTAGAAGCTTCGAAAATTAACAAGATCTTAAAGTTCAGCCGGCAATAATAAAGGGGCTCCAAAAAGGAGCTTTAGGAATATTTTTTAATCAGAAGGTACGACTGTGGACGATGTCGTCTTTTGGGGTTAATACATATCGCGATCGTGTGTTTAAAATAAACAAACTTGGGTATATTTCGTAGCATTCGTGATTTATCCATATAGTGACCGCTAGAGTAATAATCGGAATACTGGTTCAGAATTAATTTTTCTTTAATTTCTCAAGATTACCTCTGATCACCTACCTATAGTAGTCAACGCGTTAAAAGTCTTAAAGCTCCCTTGGAAAACCCTCGATAACACCATTTCTATGGCCTTCCATCATATTCGACAAACATTTTCTATTTTCTATTCGGCTTTTCTACCTAGCCAACGACTCCAGATGAAATCTGAGATGAAACGCGTCGCGTGACCGGTGGATGTTTGATCAGCAGCGGTGTGCGGACAAATTAGACGAAGAATGTCTTAATTGCGAATGTCCGAGCCTGTTGTTCCCGTTGCTCGTCGCCCGTATGTTTCAGCCGCGTGACGAAACGTCACGGTTTGTTCGCTCAGATCGCCATCAAGGCGTCGCTCGGTCCGTGCCCGTAGGAATCGACGAAAGAAAGAACAATCGCGACCGTAAGGACAATGGCCACATGTCGGAAAGGAAAGTCATACCGCAATTTGTCAGGCGCGTACACGCGCGACGGAAAGCGGACCATCTTTCGCAGCAATTATTTGCCACGGCGCATTGTCGATCCCCGGAGGTGTCTCGGCTATCCAGCGACCGGGGGAGGGAGGGGGGAGGAGGTGAAGGGTGGATGTTGACAATAGTCGATTACAAAATTTTAGTACCGATTCTGTGAGAACCGTTCGCCTGGGGACGACTTAAGAAACGAGAGGATTGTTGCAGGACGCGATTACGTCCTTCCTTGCGACATTGCTGGCGATGGCGTCATTGGGAGACACCGAAATCACGTTAAATGACTGCCTATAAAACTCTGCAGAAATAGTTGACCTTTTTTTGTTAGAAACGTTCTATTTCGAGAAATGTTCCTTTTTATTTTTGATACGAGTGTTTTGATACAAATTCCATCGAGTAATTCCATCGAAGATAGATGGTTACATTTAAGATGAAGATGTAACTACATCTCCGTGTGTACACTCGAAAACGAGATCATAGAAATCTGGCATACGTCACATCTCGATACACTCACCCTTTCGACGCCCTTGCAACGAACTATTCCTGACATCCTGTCGCGTAAAAGAGATTACGAGCATTCGAAAACGCGTGCTTCGTATTTTGGAAAAACAATCTATCTAATATCTAAACGTTGTAACATTTAAATGCTCGCTACGTGACAAGTTAAATCGGTTCGAGTTGATAAAATATTTTCGCGCGTGGCGGATATTATGAATACAGATGTGACGTAAGGCAAGAAAAAGAGATATTAATGCAGGAACTTAGCGGTAATTGGGCTCGATAAATCGTTACACGAAACGTGTCGCTGGATATCGTTCCCACCGCAGTGCGTTAATCTGTATTCCGTTCGATAACGATAATGTCAATTTCATCAGCGCGACCGCAAAAAGTCAGCTCACAGGAAAGAAATAACGCATAACAAACGACCTCGTTCTCTTTATCTCGGTGAAAACGGTGGACGCTCGTCTGTCAGAGCCGACGATTAGGTTGAAAACACATTTTTCACGAATCTGATCGTTGCTACGAAATACGTCGCGAGAGATAATGCGATTCGGTGAACCCTCTCTAATTGAAAACACTTGGAAACATTAATGAATTCGAAATATAGATGATTCGATGAATTATAATCCACTTAATGATTACAGTTTTGTACTGTTCTATTCGAGCTGATCGAGCCCGTCCCTAATCTCATCAGGTTCGTCGATGGTTTCGTTGAAAGGTGGTCGTGGCTTCGTGAAAATGCCGAATGGATACAGAGGAGGTTGGCATAAGTCGATGCTGCTGGCACGAATTCAAACGTCACGACGGCGCACACACGCACACCGCCGCATACGTGCATATTCCGTTCGATTCTTCACATCCACGAAACGTGCCTCGGCTGTCGTCATTGTCCTCGTAACGTTCCGTTTCCACCCACAACGCTGTCGATTTCTTGAAACATTTCACGTCGACCGATATCGCAGAAACTGCAACATCAGTTTCTTGGACCGTTCACCGCATTCCGATCTTAATGACCAATTAATCTTTCCTCGGTTCGTTTCGCGGCTGGCACCATAGAACGCCTTTGCTACGCGAAAAATCGAGCTCGAACGATTTTAGAGGAAAATGGGAACGAACGCATCTTGGAACCCTTTCAAATCGATGAAAGACAGGAATAAAAAAATCGAAGAGATCAAGTCTCGATAACTAATCGAGACGACGATATTGAAATCTCGAGATGAGGTCGCAGCTAGATTCACTCTCGCGAGAAACATCGAGCGTCGTGGCCAGGAAGTTCATAGGGTTGGAAAAGCAAGGGCAGCGAAGCAATCAAAGTCGTGATCGATGGCTCATCGGGCCTGGATCTTACGTTTGATTGGTCAATTAGGCGGGAAACACGTAGGAGAGCGTCGTTGCCTATGCGAGAGGGGAATCCTGCAAGCGCGAGATCCCGGAAAAGGTTGTTTTAATTATCGTCGCCAGGGTGTACTCTGCCTTCGGGTTCTAGACGTTAGGGTTCAATGTTATTAATTTCGCGTTGTATTAATTGCTTCCACGTTCGATCGAACATGAAATCAGCCCGTCCTGATTAGATACGTGGGGCTGTCTCTTCCTTATCGTACGTCGTCCGCTAATGGGTGGAATTGAACGTCGATCCTGGGCGGAATTTGAATTTTCAAGCGTACAAGATTCTCTACATTCTGACATTTCGCGTTTCCCGTGAGTTTCACTTTTCCTATTCCCTCGTCGAGAGAAATCAGGGATGTTCGCAGACCTTCGATTACGAATTAACACTAAACCCACCGCGAGCAGTCAAATGACCGTTTTCAAATTTTTGTTTCATGCACTATTCAATTCAGTTGACTCTAAGACATTTGTCCAATCACGAAATGTCCAATTTAGAAATAGTAAGAAATAGAAAGATGGAAATTAGATTACAGCGTAAAAATACGCGACAGTTTTGAACGCAGAGACTCCGACGATTATTCATTCCAAACGTCTACGATGTCGATAAAAACAACAGGTGAACGATCGCTTAGTGTGCTTCGGTAGATCCGTATTATGTACAACTCCCCCAACTAATTCACCTCCCCCAAATTAATTTATTTTCTACACGTACCTTTAAGACCAAACCGAGTAAGAACGCACCACAAGTTGTGCCTCACCCGTAGAGTATGTTTCAGGCAAGGAGCAAGGAATGCCAGCGTTCGCGCGTGGACCACAGGAAGGTGGTCCGCCAGAAATGAGCGACGAAAGGTTGGCGCATATCCTCTCGGAGTCTGGCCATCTGCAGATGAGGGGCGAGCACGAGATATCGAACGACGCGGACAGCAAGAGCCCGAGCAGAATCGGCTGTCCGAGCCCGTTCAACAAGGACAGGCTCGACAGTCAAAACAGGAGACTGAAGAAATACGAAAACGATGACATTCCGCAGGAAAAGGTAGTCAGGATTTATCAGGAGGAGCTAGCCAAGCTGATGGGGAGAAGGGTCGAGGATCTCCGCGGACCGCGAGAGTTCTCCACCAGGTAAGGCTTCGACGCGAAACCATCCACGTAAATCCGAACAGAACAGATGGCTGCCGGTCTAAAGAATTTTGCGAGGGGCTTTTAGCAAAATTATAAAATATTTACTAGGCGTGAGAGAGCAATTTATCATCTTGCGATCATATTTAAATTAACACGAAGTCTGTTTATTAAACGTAAGATCTTTGGATGGATCGAATATTAGATCACGTTAAAGAATGAAAGATAATGGATCCTCTAGAATCATCTAATTCTATGGAGGTTTGAAATAAAAAATCGAGCATACCCCATACCTCGCACGTATTCGATCAGAATATAGATTCTAAAGCCCTTCTGGAAAAACCTTTGCATCAGACACGCCACTGTCGCGTATGTAATTTAACCAGTCAGCCGTGTTTGACGATCATATCCGTCACGACACGAAATCGTGACGGCTATATTCGTCTATATATGCATATACAGTCAGTCCCATAAGTATTCCTACCTTTTACATCTATTGAAGACATTTCTCTAAATTAATTGATAGATTTGATGTGTACAAATAAATTTTTTAACGAATGATTTATTTGGAAACGTCAAACCTGTCGTTTAATTTAGACTGTTTTCAATAGACATAGCCACTTACTCTGTGCCTAACTATATCATACAAATATCCTACATGCCTGTGTCAATGCATGAGGTCCTCGCGGCACTGTAAAAGACGACGCCACACTGACTGGTTAAAAAAGAATATTTAGCAAGCGCCTTTCTTCTAGAGAACCTAGTGTACCCGCGTAATACGAGGGTTGACCCTGCCACGCCGTAGCACGGTATCCGAACCGGTAGTGCATCCCATAGATCTTGTGAGTCACGGCAAATCGCGGCCGCGCACGAACTATGCTGAAAAGATGACGTACGCGGCTAAAATTAATATGCCGCTATATCTGTTTCGTTACTTAACACGTAAATGTCAGGTGTAAACACCAGCTTTCCCCGTGGCTCGTATTGCACGTCCAGACGTGGCTCGTATCGTCCGCGCGTCCCCTACCCCCCGATTGATCATTATTGAGGACAGCACGCGACCTCGATTGATCGTAGTGCGATGTTTCCGCACTTTTTCAGTAGCACCCAGGGCAGCCTTCAGGGCATGGAGCGCACGCAAGACGACATTCGATTGGCCCTGGACGCGTACCACCGCGAGTTGCAGAAGCTGAACACGACGCCGGGCCAGAACCCCGCGTTGACTGGACTGCCAGGATTACCAGGGCTCCCTGGGCTTCTGGCTCTTCAGCAGCAAGCCCTTCAGCAACACCATCTGGCCACGAACGGCGGTGGCGTTCAGGATCTCAGTTTGGGGAAGGTGGATCCCAGGAGCAAGATGATAAACGGCGTCACGGAGGAAGAGAAGGAGAAGATGGAGGAGGCCATGAGACACGCGGGTAGCGCGTTTTCGTTGGTCAGGCCGAAACAGGAAACCGCCGCGCCTCAATCCACCCCTAGCGGTTCCAGCGCGAGTTCACCGTTGGGCAACTCGATTCTTCCGCCAGCGATGACACCCAGCGAGGAATTCTCTGGCGCGGCAGCCGCCAGTCCGCTACAGAGGATGGCTTCGATCACGAATAGTCTGATCAGTCAACCGTCCACGCCTACTCATCACTCGGCCAACCAGAGGCCCCTAAAAGCGGTGCTTCCTCCCATTACTCAGCAACAGTTCGACATGTACAATAACTTGAACACAGAGGACATCGTGAAGAGAGTAAGTGAACCGATCGTAATACGAAATGTGAGTAATTCTGCCTTAACGATGATGTTCATGAAAGATTCATCTTCCCAGGTGAAGGAACAATTGTCTCAGTATTCCATTTCCCAACGTCTTTTCGGTGAATCCGTGCTGGGTCTTTCTCAGGGATCCGTCTCCGACCTCCTGGCGCGGCCAAAGCCCTGGCACATGCTCACGCAAAAAGGTCGCGAGCCGTTCATCAGGATGAAGATGTTCCTCGAGGATGACAACGCGGTGCACAAGCTGGTCGCCAGCCAGTACAAGATCGCACCGGAAAAACTGATGAGGACCGGCGGCTACGGTGGCCTGCCTCGTAAGTTTAACTCAGGTCAATATAGATGTTTTGTTATTTTACTAAAAACGTAGTTTGGGAGCTCGAAGCTGTACGAGCCGAATGCTGCTACGCTAACGAATAGTCGAGCCGCTGTAACGAACGATGAACCTACGAAATAGGCCGAAGATCAGCGACTCCGTTTACGGAGAGTATCCATAACTGTAGTCGGAATATTTCAGGGCGGGCAAGACGATTTTAGGAAAATTTAAATAAAACTCTCTAACAAAAAGAAATCGCCGACTTCTGGCACTTCTCGAAACGAAAAGCCACGAGGTGAAGCTAAGCGTTGGGAAATCACCGAAATGCAATGTTTCGAAGGCCAGCATCGACGCCTCGAATGACCGTCGGTTATTGTCGGCTACATAACGAAGCAACATTCCGTCGTCCAACGAACCGAGCTTTCGGACTATAACGCGCTATGCACTGTAACACACGATTTCTAAATATCTCCTTCCTTTCTTTTACAGCCTGTGGAACACCAATGAAGCCGATGCCTCCGACGAAACTGGTTCAGGAACAGCTTCAGAACGCCGCGAAAGCACAGGCTGCGGCGCAGGCGGCCGCTCAGGCGGTAGCGCAGCATCAGCAAGAAAACCAAATACAGCTGGGACCACCCCAGCAGAGTCCCCAGCTCCCTCAACATCCTCAGCCGCCGCCACCGATGATGCTGACGCCTCCAGGCCCTCTCCTCCCTCACACACAGCTCAGCATGCAAGAGTTGCAGAAGAAGCAACAGCAGCAACAGCAACAACAGATGAACCTTCACTCGCCCCATCATCAGATGACTCCGTCTCCCCTTCGAGGACTCCACCCGCACATCTCGCCCAGCGTATACGAAATGGCCGCGCTGACGCAGGACCTCGACACGCAAACCATCACGACGAAGATCAAGGAGGCGTTGCTGGCCAACAACATCGGCCAGAAGATCTTCGGCGAGGCTGTGCTCGGTCTGTCGCAAGGATCCGTCAGCGAGCTGCTGAGCAAACCCAAACCATGGCACATGCTCAGTATAAAAGGCAGAGAGCCGTTTATAAGGATGCAGCTGTGGCTGTCAGACGCCCACAACGTCGATCGGCTGCAGGCCTTGAAGAACGAACGACGAGAAGCGAACAAGAGACGACGCAGCAGCGGACCAGGCCACGACAACAGCTCGGACACCTCGAGCAACGACACGGCGGAGTTCTATCACGCGGCGTCGCCCGGTCCCGGACCCGCCTCGGCCAAGAAGCAGCGAGTCCTCTTCTCCGAGGAGCAGAAGGAAGCCCTCAGGCTCGCGTTCGCCCTCGACCCTTACCCCAACGTGGCCACCATCGAGTTCCTCGCCAGCGAGCTGGCGTTGTCCTCGAGAACGATAACCAACTGGTTTCACAATCATCGGATGAGACTGAAGCAGCAAACGCCGCACGGCCAGCCCGAGCCACAATCCCCCAGGGAACCTGGCCAGCCGTTCGACCCAGTTCAGTTTAGATTGCTGTTGAACCAAAGACTGTTGGAGATACAGAAGGAGAGATTGGGCTTGGGCAACGTGCCCCTGCCGTACTCCCCGTACTTCAACCCCAACCTGGCCGCCCTGGTAGGGAACGCTCTGAAGGAGCAGTGTTCAGGCCTGGATTTGTCGATGAGCTCGTTGAAGAGGGAGCCGAACCAGGAGTTCGAGGACGAGGACGCCGAAGACGCCATGAGCAACCTCGGTAGCGAAGACTCGGAGGGATCGGCGGGTAGCATAAAGAGGGAACCCGCGGAGACACCCACCGCGCCAGCCACGGTCAGATCCAATCGAAGGAAACCCGCAGCGCCGCAGTGGGTGAACCCCGAGTGGCAGGAGCCGCCCAGGACGGGCGACGAGGTGATCATCAACGGCGTTTGCGTGATGCAAACGGACGATTACGGGGTGAAGAGAGAGGCAGAGGAGACCGTTAGGGTCGAACCAACCCCCGTGCAGGACAGATACGAGGAAGACGCGCAAAGCGACGTGTCTTCCGTATCGGCGAATAACGGTCAGGAACGGGACAGCCCTCTGCCCAGTCCGAAATCGGGACAGAACAGTCCCGTGACGTCGCCCAGGCCGCCCTCCACGCAACAAACGCAACAGTGCACGGACGAGAGTCCCAAAGACAACGTGGTTAAACACGAGCCAGAGGAAACGTGGGATTATTAAGCGTGGGATTAGCAGATGCCCGGTCCGCGAGACCTGGTTGGACAAAACGGAGGGTGTGATCGAAGTGGACAACGTTGAAACATGCCAAAATGACGCTGCAGAAGTACGGTCCCCATGTTGCCGACGACTACGGCCTAGTTAAGTTCTTAATGAGGAAGAAACAAAAACCAGTCATAGGATTCGGCCAGGTCCGATTGGCCGAGTCCTGCCTACCACGAGGGCATTATCATAGGGTGGCGAATACAAAGTAGGATACGTGAACAAAAATTAAACAAAAAAAAAAAAATTTCGAAAGACACGCAGACGTGCATTGGAACCCTTCGGTCGACTGAAAGCTACCAGCGGGGGAGGCTGCTATCGAGGAAGATGGAGCTCAATCAAAAGAACTGTTTTTTCGTAACGCTGCCGATATACGGTTTACGGAACAGTGTGTTGGTGTGCACGGATACTACAGCGGATTTGTATTGTTAGAAGACTGTAAACGCGACGAGGGGTAGCTCAGGAAATGGGGGCAAATCGTCGCACATCTCGCTCGAAAATCCGAAGAAACCCTGGCCGCTTCCGTTTTCGAGCGGACGAAGGAAGGGGAGGGGGAAGGTAGGAGAGACCAGGTATAAGTTACAAAAGAAAGAGAAAGAGAAAACAAACAAACGAGAATCGGAAAACGGAAAGGGTCCGGGTTCGTCAGAGTGCAATCTACGAATAACCAGTTGTTAGATCAAATTATTATTAATTTTATCTAATTACGCGTCAAGATGAGCGATTAATAATTATTGCATAATTGTGATTCATGTTATATTGTTTATACACTTCTCCTATCCCATAGTTGTTAAGCTGTTAATGTTACTACACTCCGCTCTCCGATTACGTACCTTTTTATCTTGTTCGGTTAGAAACGCGTCGTTCTTATTTCTATTTCTTTTTTTCATTTTTTTTTTCGGAAAATGGAGAAGAAAAAATGGTTAGAAAAGTGAAAACGTCCTCTCGCTCTTTTTCCTGCTTCTTAGTTGCGCGTCGATTCGCGAAAGAACGAGCGATCGATGATCGAGAGTAGTCTGGTCGACGGTGTTGTCCAATTTTGTCGGCTCTTTCGCGAACTGGCGGGCAACGCGAACCGGAACAACAATCTGTCCACTTCTGAATAGTCTTTGTTTTCTTTTCTATTCCCGCGTAGAGAAAGCTAGTTATACGTGACGATCGGTGATCGAGGTTATCAGTTACTACCAATATTACTGTATTATTAGGCTTACGTTATCATTGCTATTTTATTATTATTATTATTATTAATATTATTATTATTATTATTATTATTATTATTATTATTATTGATTATATTGTATTATTTTATTACCATTCGAATTCTTATCGCGATAACGATACGGCTTACGAAGCCAATGTGATAGAGCTTATATGCGATGATAAAATTTAAAAAAAAATGCGACATACCAGGGAGGCTGGAGGTCTCCTTCCGTGCGACGAAGATGCTGCCGGGTATTCTTCGAAAACGGGCGTTAAAGCGTGGCAGCCGTAAAGCTCGCATCCACATGTAAATAACTGTACAAAAAAAGAGACTCGGAACATACGAGACATTACACATACACAATCTTGTATATTATACTTAATTACCACACTTAAACTCTTCAATAGCGATATATTCACGCGGAAGCAATGGCGACCGAGCGCGTGGCCAAGCGCGCGCGACTCAACGCCGCGTTTCCGACGCGGAAACGTGGACGAAAAGGGCCTCTTCGCTCGCGTCGTTCACCATTTTACGGAGGAACGAGCAACGCGGAGACGCGACGTTGGGTCCGACACGCACAGACGCGACAGGAGAACATATAATTACGATTACCGTATACTATCGAAGCCTGAGAACGACGAGGAAGCGAGCGTGAGAGCGAGCGTGCTTGCGTGCGAGAGAGAGTGAGAAAGGGGCAAAAAATTATCCTCGATATTACGAATCAAACTTGTATTTACCAGATTAAATTTTAATCTTCGATTAAATTCTAGTCCGCAGTTAAAAACGAACAATGGCTAGAGCGAGAAAGGGAGGGAGAGAAAGGAACGAGTGAAAACGGAACGTGTGCGAAAGGAATGGACGTGCGAGTACAGCCAACCCAGTGAGAAGAACACTTAAACGAAAAAGGGCATTGCTAATTGAGAGACCAGTGATCCGAACATTCTGTTTTTCTTTTTCAATCTTACGTTTATCGCGAAACCATCGTCGGGGGACCGGCGCGGCTCGGAGACGGGCGAAATATCGTTGGAGATCGAAGTATTTATTTGCTACGTTCGACGTTTATTCGAGCGCGTCGTTACTTGTTCAAAAGGATTTCATTCTGTAGGCATGTAGTGTACATTGTTTAGTTTTTATTCGTCGTTCGAAATTGATGGGAGTTTTCCTCCGTCTCCGACGAGAGCCGCGTAAGAGCGCGAGAACTGTCGCGAGGTCGAAGAGATTATGTGGATAGAGTGAAGATATTCTAAGAATCTGGAAATGGAAATAGCAAGGTGAAGAAAGAGAGAATGAATCGAGAAAGTATCACTATTTCTGTATAAATTTGCGTGCGTATCAAAATTTTAAGACTTGGTGGGGACAAGTCACAGCAATTAAAAGGGGTGAAATTCGTTTAAATCTTGCTTTAGGTTACTCCGCATTTATATTTGCTTACATACCTCATTATTCTCTGGTACCCTAACGAAGGACGCCGATAGTCTGTTCTGGGTCTCACTGGCCCACCTATAGCTCGGGTACCTCGGGATCGCTAACCCCGTACTGTAGCTACAATCAAACGTAGCTACAGCCCCTGAGGGCTCGAAAAACACTCGATCTCTTTCCTCTTACAATTTGCATTACACTTTCCAAAATATCTATTCCATCTATTATAATCTCTCTGCTCTGACCAAAGAAGGACTTCGCGGCGAGTTTCGCGTTCCTCGACATACGCGGCGCCACCTGTCCACCCGACTTTCATCGCTGCGATCGACACCACCTTCGTTATCCTTAACATTATTATTATTATTATTATTATTATTCTAATTATTATTATCGTCGCCGTTATTATTATTACCGTCTACCACCGTTAATCGTTGCTCGTAACTCGATGACATCGACATCAGTCACAGCTCCGCCTGACGATCGTCGTGCAGGCGCCTACGAACCGAACCAACGACGCCAGTGTCAGGGGAAGAGATCAACGGATCGAAGAGGCACAGGGAAAAGAGGATCTCAAGTCGCGAACGCATCCAGCCTGCCGATTGTCAATCTCGTTGGGTTACGAAGACTGCTCCGACCGATCGTCGCCGATCGCGCAGCTGAGTAAACCGTGTAACCCGATCCTTCTCGGGGACGATCGGCGTCGTGGTTTTTCTTTGTCTATCGAAACCCTTTCCACAACCCATATCCATCCATCCATCCATCCATCCATCCATCGATCCATTCATCCATCCCTACTCCATCGAGCCCAAACACATCCCGATGTCCCGTTCACTGTTCACGATTTCTTTTCTCTTGTTTCTCGAGCGAGTTGCGAGGCATATAGGTTCTTCTGTAGATACCGAATAGACTCTAGATAGCAGATAGCTTTAATTATTTAAGCGGAAACGGCTTTCTAGGCGAGTACCCGGGTCCCCCGGGTAGTGGAGGAGTTTGTAATATAGGGAGGAAGGTTCGTGCGGACACACACGAGTCGGAGGTCGCGCAAGGACCACCTGATAAAGGAGGAAAATCATATCGTAAACATAATAATGAATATTTTACAGAACCGACGAAACGAAAATGAGAAGTAAAAAAACGACGTAACGCTGAGGACTTAAAGATAACTGTAGATAGATATTCAGAAAGAAAAAAGCAAAAAGTTATCGATGCTCTTGTATACGCGCGTAACCTGTGTCGCGTGAAATGATCAAAATTTTTCGGGGGGCGGGTGGGTGGGGTGGGGAGGGGTGGGGGTGGGGGGGGTCAGAACGAGAGGAGCAATGGTATTATAACGCTGAGAAAGGACATTGTCATTCAGTAGTGAAAATAATTGTATTAAACAAAAAAAACGAGAAGGTTTACCTAACGTAATAGTTTATTGATTTGTGTTTCATTTCGAACTGTATTATAGCTTAAAGATTATCCTGTACATTGCATACACATACATACATACACACCCACACGAGCACTATTGTTTTAAATTGTACGTTTATGATTATTATACGAAGATGAAGAAGAAAATAAATAAGGTATACAAAGTATTGAAGACACACGAGAGATTTTATTCTAGATCATTGGAACAACGAGGACGATCTACGGATGAATACCTTGCGACAAATTTTTGTAGAAATCGCATTCCTACGAGGCATCGAGCGTATCGGGTTTTTCACGACGGTGGTGTGGGTCGCTGGGATTCGAATTTTGTAACGATAACGCGCGAGAATGGGGGGAGAACATCGATTAAATTGATTATTCTTTCGATAATCTTTCTCTTAAACTTGGGAATCGTTTTTTTTTTTCTTTTTAAATAATTTTGAAGCGTACAAGTTTACGGAACACTCGATGTCTCGCAAGTTACGACTTGCAGGTGTACAGATTAATTATCCTCATTTGGTAGGGAACCTGGTAAACAGTCTATACAAATTTCAATCCCTCGATAACGTTAGACACGCAATAATACGATTTAAACACGAATACAAATGGAAAATTCTCTTTATTGTATATACGTATATGATTATATTATTCATATCAGTGTCTCCTTTCAAGAATTTCTAAATTAAAAGAACTGTACTGAAAATTGCACAACGATTGTTCTATTGATCCCTCCTTATTACGAATTTCATCGCTAATGCATGAAAGCAGAATTGCGAATGCGGAAGTGAAACTATACTTATATTAGGAAAAAATTTAGTTAACAACAATTTCGCTTGAATGGGGACATTATTTACAACATCTACCCAGAGGAGAGTTGGAAAAAGATGAAAATAGAAAACATCCTTACCCACATGGGACTATTGCGCCATCTACAAACAATGGACGGAACACGCTAGCTGGACAACCTATCAGATGGTAAATTGTCGGTAAGTCGATAAAAGAGCTCTCTACCTTTACAGCATCAAGTAAGTGATTCATAAAGGGTACACCTCTTAGTAAAACAATTTCCAACTGCGAGTAAAATACCGACACATGTTAATGTCCGAAATACAGTCTAATACGGTCGATAAATCAGCATGTGAACGATTTAGCTACTGAAGGTAATGTCTCTACTGCAGATATAATCAATACCAATAACGAACGAAAGATGAAAAAAATTATTCATCCATTCTTTTCTAAGTAATGTGTAGCTCCAAAATGACTCGTTTGTGTAACTACACGTCTCTATTCTACTGTACTCCAGTTTTTGTTTTGGAATTAATGTAAGTACAATCATCTCGATTATTCCCACCAACGAGTCGTGCACAGGGAATTCTTTGCGCTCGGCGTCTATCAGATGAAAGGATTAAATTGTCAACGTTTAACAATCTGTATAAATATGGACACATATGCCTTTATTTTCGTTCCAGATTCTTCAAAAAAAGTAATCGAAAATGTCAAAGTTACTGTCCCTGCGAGCCACACATTTACGCAAAAAACTTACATTGCCGTCGCGGCACTTTTAAAATATTACCCTCCTTAATCCCCATAATTCAGCACGAATTCGCCGGTATCGTTCGACCCATAACGCAAGGATATCAATGAAAGCTCGTCGATGTATGCGTATATATCACAAATGGTGACAACACTTTATTTCGTTAACTCTACTTGACGTGTTGGTATTGTTTCTCGTAGGGCGGGTAGAAAAAGCGAGAAGTCACTAAAGCAAGTGCGACGAAATTTACGAAAAGCAGCTACGACATTACTTTTATTACGTCATCCTACGTAGAAACATCGAACATCCAGACCGAGTTCGGTACGCGTTTGTTCGATTCCGGTTGCTTAATTACAATAATGTATTTTGTATATTTATGTGTCTGTGTATGTGTGTGCATATACGTATGTACGTGTATATATACATATTGACGGGTATACGACTATGTATACGCGCGTACATACATACGTACACGTGTATGTATAATATATATTATATATTATAAATATATAAGTGTGTACGTGTATGTGTTAGCTTTTTTTCCTCTCTATTATAAATGTAAAATACTGTCATGCATGTACTGCGGAGTCGTGACTTAAATCGAATGCATTTTGCTTGCCGCAGAAGCCGCGAGCGTGGTCCGTCTCTCTCGCAAGCGTAAAACGTGGATGTGCTCCGATCGCTTTCAGAAAGTTTTCTGATGTCTCAAAACGAAAATCGGACCCGCATGCGCGCGATCCTGCCACGCTCCGATTCCAAAGAACCGTTTTGTACAAGAGTGCTACAATTTTTATCGAGCAGCGGGGGTTGGGAGAAAAAAAAAAGAACGAAGTAGACATAAGATCAAGTTTGCTCGAATAAAAGAATACATCGATCTGTCTTCCGAAGAATTTACACAATTTCGCAATGTTTTATATATATAGGGAATTCCCAAAAGAACAGAACTTCCAATTATCGTGGTTGCTACAAGATTTTATTATCAATGGATCGAAAAGTGGCAAACAACGATGCACGAATTTCGTCGAAACACACCGGTAGTATAATAGAGCACGACGTTACACGGCTGAGAACATCGTTTTTCTTTATTGTTCATCAAAATAATTTAGTACCACGTCGAGTTAACCCCTTAACGCTCGTGCCCTTGTCTCGCACGGACACGACAGACCGTCCAAAATGTGCAAACCTGTGATTCACCACTAGCAGACATAGATACACCTGTAGCAGGCATAAACGCATTGTTATGCAATCGAGAAACGAGTCCAGTAAATAAAAATGATCGTTTGCGAGCGTTAAGGGGTTGAATGTTTCGGCTCTCCCGAGGGTTAGAGAGCAGGAAGAGGGCCGTTTACCTAATCGAGGGAGAAAATATGGTAGGAGAGATGGTATAGTTCGGAATAGTGTGTACCGTTTCGAGAAATCGGTCTTAATCGATTAAGCATTGTTACATGAGGTCTTGACGTGTGTCCGCATAAGTATGTCTGTGTATCGTTCGATCATTCCACTCGGTGGCCTGATTCTATTCCCGTTTTGCTTCTGTCTACGTTACGTCTGCGCTACCTCTAATAGTAGTTTAGAGCTAACTATAAAACTAGTACCTCTCGTATCTCGGGACCCACGCTACAACTTATGCGTCTGAAATACTTCCATACGGGTACATGTGTTTTGCATTTTGCGGCATTCTCACAAATTGCACGCTCCACTCGGCCGTCCCTGCGTTCTAGTACTATCGTTAACAATGCACGCTGATCGGGCGACACACATTGTCGAGCAAAACTGCGTCACTTTTCGTCACTTCTACCAATCATGCCGGATGTTTCCTTGACTTTAAGAGAACAGTCTCATGTTAGTCTTGTAGATACCAATAATACACGCATACAAGGGGACAAACGCAACATGTAAAATAGAACATTTCAAACGGACGCTGCTCGCGCTGCTTTCTGGTTGCAGAGCGCCAAATACGCGTCCGTCCGTTTGACACGCTCGTTCGATTTACATTGTGTATCTTAATTCGCACAAGAATCAATATGCTACATACTCGACCAGCGTTAGATAAATTATTGACGTTCAATACACAGTAAACGATGCCGCCACGCATTTATCTCAAGAGTGTCTGTATATAATATATGTATCGGCGTCATTTCCCGATGTCACATCGCCAAGAACGCTCGAGGAGAGATCAGCGTAACAAACGACAACGAATGATCGCGATGTTCGAACGGTGACACAGCCGAAAATTCTTGCCACCGTCGACGACCGGAGGAGGACGACACGTTCAAACAATTCGGAAAAAGACGCTTTAACCGCGGGCCACTCGACGAGTGAATTACCCTCTTCGAAGAACCAAGTTTCCGACGGTGAAATATTCGACTACTCGAGAGGGCTGTTAACCATCGATGAAATTTATGGCAATGTCCTCCTCGCGAAAGAAAGCTGATCTTGGGCACAGGACTCTCCTCGAGTCATGTAGCTCGTTACCGAAGAAGGTACATATAATATTAATAATTGCTAAGTATACTTTATTATAAATTAAAGAGCTCTTAACCGTAGGTGTTTATGTGTGTATAATAATATCAATATTAATAATAATAGTATGTACGATAATTTTTTTTCTTTTGTAGCAGCTTACTCTTTCGGCCGTTTCCATCGAATTCGACGCGTATCGTACGCCTTCTTTCCACAATCTGTCTTCTTTGACGAAAGTTTAACGAGACCCTGACGTTTTGGTGACTAGCGGCACTCCCAGATCTTCACCGTTTGGTCGACGCTACCCGTGACCACGTAAGGATGGCTTTTGTGAAAATCTAGAAGCATTTCATTCAACCGAATAAAAGAGCTTCTCATTCAACGGCGAGTCATCATTCAATCCGCGATAGGTGTCCATGCTCGCAGCTTAAAAGAGAGCTCCGACTCCTATCATGTTTACTTGTTCACGGATTTCAAATCGTAAATGACAACAAATCAATACGAATATTTCAACTTACTTTCGATATTTCGTTAATCGCGTACTGTGACATTATTTCAAATATACCCTTTTATTTTTCACTATCATCACTGCCACTAGGTAATAAATCCTTACATTTTTATAGTTTATTCTCGTCGACACTGATACTTCTGTACAAGCAAAATCAACATGCTCTCTGCTCGCGAAGATTCGGACTTGCAGCATTTTTATAACGATTCATAAATTTCGAATTAGTCAAGGATGCGGAGATGCGTGGAGTAACGCTGCCGAGTTACCAAATTCTGTCTTGTTTTTCAAGTTCGAAGATACGAAATGCAAATTGTACTCACCAACGGAGGTGCAGAAGTGGACATGTGCCTCGAGGGTCTTCATCGCTCGTTTGTTACGTGTGTCCCAGACTCGCAGGGTTTTATCATCAGAGGCGCTGACGATAAACTTGCCACCGGGGTGGAATACAATGCCACGCACCCAGTTATCGTGTCCTAAGAGTGCGAACAGACAAACGCCAGCACCGACATCCCACACGCGGATTACTTTGTCTCGCGAACCAGATGCGAGGAAAGGACCTTCGTGGGCACCTTTGTTGTCAGCTCCTGCTGCGGCATTGATGGATGCTCTTGCGCTATCCGGCGCCCAGGCGATGCACTCCACCACGTGCTCGTGGTCCCGGAGTTCGATCTGAAAACCAAATCGCTCGGTTAACACGGTTGTCGACCAGGACCGGGACTTCAGGGGACGACGAACTAAATTACCTTTGTTTCCTTTGATGCGACGTGCCAGATTCGAACTGTTTGGTCGTTTGAGCAGCTGGCGATGAGTTCGCCGCAAGGACTGACTCTGGCCATCCGTACCCACTCTCTGTGACCCGTCAACGTCTTAACACAATAACCTGTTGCAACTTCCCAGATTTTTATGGTCTTATCCCTAGAGGCGCTCACTACGAAATCTCCTTGTGGCACAAATGCGACTGAGCTGACACTGTGATCATGTCCGTGCATAGTTTTCACGCAGGCGAATGACTGGTGAAAGTCCCACAATTTAATAGACATATCCGCACTGCATGAGACTAACAGTTTACCGGAGACATCGAATGAAACGTCCTGTACGCTGTCAGTGTGCCCCTTCAATGTTCTTTCGAATTCGCCGCTTTCGAAGTCCCACACCTAGCGATACGAGGAAGGACCAGTTTTTATACAACGAGATCAACTTACGGGATGACTAGGAAAAGTTGAAAGCAACTAGCTGCTATCTCTGAGCAGGTATGCAAAATACCCTTCAACGACTATTTTTAGGTGCGGCTTGTCAATTTCAATTATCGAGCAAGAAAATCGTGTGCTACATATACATAATACAGATTTTCCAAGCGATCGTTCGAGATAGCAACCATTTAACTTCGACAACTGCTTGTTCAATTGTCAAGGAAGATTCTACCTTAATGGTGGCATCTTCGCTGGCGGACACTATAAGACTAAAAACCGGATGAAAAATAACTCTGTTGATGGGAGCTCTGTGTCCAGTGAGACTGTACTTTTCGGGTGGCCTTGGTATCCATTCGGCCGGCGATCGTTTGCTGCGTGTCGGTGCTCCTTCGATGAATTCTTTTTCCGCCTCGGAGAGTTTCGATTCGAGTTCCATTACCTAGAGTTTAAGTAAACAATTTGTCAGCATTTCGGTCACGGCAACTTAACACTTTATTGTTTTCTATCCCACTCTGAGCAACGATAAGCGTCTTGTTTAACATTTCTGTAATACGTGACGCGTGGTACACGAAGTTATCGTAATTATAAACGGGAAAAAGTGAAGGATAGAATTTCCAGAATTCTACGGCGAACTTTGAACGAAGATACCTCATTATTCCGTGTCTCGCTACTTATTATTCTGATTGCATAACTAAATTCTCGTACAAGTTTATCGAACAACGCAGCAAAGTATGCAAATTGCAAATTGTTCTGTATAATTCCAGGACCTTCTTTTGCAAGCGTATGACCGAGGTCCATTTCTTCTCCAAAAGGCCTCCATACTTTCTCTCCACTTCCCCAGGCATATCGGCTTCCTTCTTGAACGCCTCGAGCGCATCTTGATAGCCATTGGTGCTGAGGTAGTCCGCGATCGCCTTATTTCTGAAAGAATACAATGATCTTTCTTTCGCAATTGTACGCTTCTTTCATAACAACGCAAAGGATCTCGTATCCGAGATCATTCTTAAGAGGTTTCAAAAACCGAAAATAAAATTCTGTTCAAATTAAATTACAGTCCTCAAAAATAATACGAAATAGGCACGGAGGGAATTATAGGTGTGTGGAGTGTTGACGAATCTCTGGCATGCGTTCATAATAAGGCCTTCGTCAGCTTTCTATGTGTACAACACCTAAAAAGGGTTCGTTTAATCGACGGCTGAGTGGCTCGACACCTTGCGCGGAAATTGTTTCGCATCTGCAATTTCCTAATCGTATATTACTCATCCAATATTATCATTCAACGTGAAGTGTTCGCGTGAGTCGCATTGGTTGTGTTTTTAAGCCGCGTTGATTAGAGACGAGACGATTAAATGATTGTAACGATAGCTCTGTTCTCGACACCGTAAACATCCTTGGTATCAATTCTCTAAGCCCTGTCGCTATGCAACAATTTACTGAGAAGTCGATGGAAACCTTGGGAACCTGGTGGACCATTCCATGCGAGCTGAATTGCAAACCATTCAGAAAATCTTGAGAAAACTAATCGATCATCTTCGTACTTCTCCGGTACGCGTTGCATCAACGCGCATGCAAACTGATATCGATGCATTATGATTTTTCTACGAAGTATCCAGCCACCCACAGACTTCCGTAGGCGTTCGACAATGCTATCCTCCATTTTTTAATAATCGTCGTGTTCTAATTACAGAGACACAGTGTTCGAGTCTTCAAGACACGAGAAACGCTCGAGCTGTCCCTCTTAGGCGCCTCACCTTGTACCTATGTATAAACTTTCCTCGTCGTCTCGTCATTCTTCGTTCGTACGACTCCATACTGTATGTACACATTACGCTCTTTCTCGACTCGGGTCCTCGCGCAGTATCTCTACTCGGATTCACGACTCACTCGAACGACTGCTTCACTAATTTACCTAGCATATATTTACGAATCGAATTTGCAATCGAGCCCCTAGGAATATTAATGGACTCGGAACAACAGCAGAATTCTCGATAATGACATTTCAGTAACAACTGTTCGCGATGTAGGCAGGTACAATAGAGGCCACAGGTTGAGTACGTGGGAAAGAGATTGAAAGTCGGGCAAAATTATGCTGGGGTGAAAGGCCTGAAGTCGGTCGTTCGTCTCTGTTCACCTGCTTCCACGTGATAGTAAGTATGTAGCGAATTATCACCATCGGTTTTGTCTCGCGGCGTTCGAGCGCTATAGGAACCCAACGGTCGAGGCGTGCGATCGATTCTCTTCAAACAATCTAGGACAATATTTGACCAAACACGAGGAGCGTCTCGAGGGAAAGAAAAGTTTTCTCGTAGGAAAATGGGGACAAGTATCTATTTGTAAAGTGTTTTCTAAAAGGGACTATAAGATCTTGTTTTAAAGGGAAGAATGAATGAAAGTTTGTTTTACAATGGATGCAAAGCAAAACAGTTTCGCTGTTCTAGCATAAATTTCATGCATGGAGGGTCGTTCGAGCGACGCGATCATTTCCTATGGCGAAGACGATCCCTTTTACTCTTCTTTTTCTATGAATTTTAACACACCAGTCAGCAAGTATCGCGTGTAGGACATATAAGGTTTCCCATCGTACGTCTGCACGAGAAATACGTAGCTTCCCAAGCATACAACACGTCGAGCCTCAAAACTTTTTCCTTAAATACCCGTTATTGATAACCGAGCCTCGATAGCAGCCTACAAAATTCCTCATCCCAAAGGTTATCTCTTTCCCTATAAATTAACCATGCTCGTGTTTCCATGAAGGCAGTTCCTTATTTTTGAAAAATGCATTCGTCTGATGCGGTGCAACTCTATGGTTGCGTTTAATAATTAAAGGCGTAAAAGAGGAAAAGAAATTTCATGTACACAGTGATAGCGAATGATAGGAATATCGCGCGAATAATTGCGAGAATAGGGAACGTGGGACACGCGATTGTTTGGAGAACACTGAATGATGAACAGCTGTATCCGTACTACATACGAAGGGTGCAAGGACTCGCTCGTCGTGGCTTTCTATCATGAATGACCTTCTGAGCGACTCTGTTGGAGATTTGTGTTAGCAATTAGAATATTCTGCGTTAGATACCATTAGCCACGAGATACAGATGTTAGAAAGCGAGTCTGGTTGGTTTACGAGAGCCTGCTATTTTTACGAGATTATTCACGTGAATAATCGAAGAAGTATATCTTCTCTGAAGGATATCTCATGATGCTGTACCAAATACGTAACTGAGTGTTGTTATACGAAATTTGATTAGATTAGCTGAGATACGATAAATCTCTATACACAGATATCGTATGATCCATCGTGTAACATGATTTGTTATAGTTTCTTTAAACTATACAAAACTACATACTGTACACTAACGACGCGAGTGTACAGAGCGAACGGTTGCTCGCATAACGATGTTCCGCAAAAAGTCTAATTCCTTCTCGTTAATGAAACATTAACAAAGATGATGAACGTTTCCAAGAGCAAGTGGAAGACTGTGAGAACGAGTAAAATGTACAGTTAACTCTTGGTCGTGGTAATGTTAGCGGCGACCTTACGTTTACTCGTAACAACTCTTTAAATATTTGAAACTCCCTTTGCACGGTGGTGGGTATTGATCGGTCCGAATCGCCACTTTCACCCTTTCTCCCCATTATTTTCTGCCTCTTTAAGTACATAGTTAACGAAACAGAATGGGAGAAACGTAAGCCAACGAAGAGGGAGGAGCTCTATCGATTGCTAGGTCTCACTGCAGTCTATCCTCTCTCGACTGTGGCCACACTCAAATCGTCGAGTGCTCAGAGCAACTCGACGCGTATCCTTAACGATCTGCTAGCGCAATCTTCCTTGGTTTATTGCCTCATTAAGACATGCAGGATTCCTTTCCTCGGGCACGTTCAACCGAACATGCTATTTCTACAGTTTTGTTTCAGCAACGGTTACAGAAATTGCACCCCAAAAGCTACGCTTTGGTGGTTATTTGATATTCGTGTGTCTACTTGAACCAAACGCGGTGGATTGAGGACATCCCTCGTAAGCTAGCAATTACTATTGGATCAATGAACGTTTTAACTACTGGGGATTAAGTTTCGCTTGGTGCTTCTATGAGACGAAGACCTACAGTCTGTTTAGAGACGGGTAAGTATCGTAAAGGGGTGAGTTTACACTTGAGACGAATCGCCTACAGGAGTATTCTCCAAGGTAGGCATAGGTACCAAGGGGAATATTTGTCATCAAGGTCAGGTGCAAGTGCAATATGCGTTAAATCAAAAGACTCTCAATTCCCACGAAAAAAAAAAGAGAAAACCTACAAGTATGTTTATTTTTCCTTGATAATAGTTACTTCTCTTAGATAACGAGCGCTTAAAGGCAAGTGACAATAGTCACTCTTCGTAGCAGAAGGGTTAAACCGATATCTCGAGGCATGTACCACTCTGTTGGAGCATGTTTCGAAACACAATAGAGCAACTGGCATATATATATTTCATATTCAGGTATGTACAGGGCTACCCATGTTAACAATGCCTTTCAAAGGTTTGGAGTGCTCTTTGATCTTTAAGATACGTGAACTTTCTTGAGACGGAAATAAACGTCTTACTAGAAAGATTATCTGTGGATGGTTATTACATCCCTCGAACGGGCCATTTCTGGATACTTTTAGCATGAGAACTATTTGATAGAGAAAGCTCGAATTTGAATAGCTGAATATAAACGCTGGGAAATTCGTATTGCAGAATACTGAAACGACTCGCAAACGCGGGTAACACGGTATCGCACCAGCTAACAGTCTACGCAATCAATCAGTAATTAGCTTTAGTCACGAGACGCAGAGCTTTGTCCTAGCAGAACGCGAGGCTACATATTATTATTAAAGAGACAAGGCTCCAACTGAGAATTATGCATCGTTTAGCATATTCAACGGACATTGTTCTCTCAGACTTCCACCTCGTTCCAAGTCTCAAAAATTATCCAAAGAGAAAAAGGACAGAGACAATCCGCGACTTAGAAAAGAATAGTTTCCACGCGACTGTTAACCTTTCGTACTCATTTGGCGTCGCTACGACACGAAGAAGGTGATACGTAGATATCGTCTCAATTTCCATAAATGGCTGCTGGCTATTTTTCGATATTTTCCTACGCAATGCACGGTAGCTTTCGCGACACCCTGTATGTACCCAATTCAGCCAATTTCAGGCGTCCCTGCAGCAGCGTCTAGTGTCTTCCTGCATTTCCCTGCTACCCCGTTTCTTTCTCTTTCAACCCCCCTCGATGGTCGACGCCGACTCATTCGACGCTCTATCGATCCCGTTATTCGCGCGTGCTCGAGAGACGCCCTCTCCTGATGGCGACTCGCGCACGACACGCGTCGATCCACGACTGATTTGACGTCACCAGAATTAGTCGGCATCGATCAGACGCCACGATCGATGTCCTCCCGTTTTGGCATTAACGCGAAGGTATGTTCGTGCCCTCAAACTGGGGTGACGCGATCCACATGATTTCGCTTCAGGGAAAATGAGAATCAAGCTCCATTTAACGCAATGGTCGGTGACGACGTTAAGCTTGCAACGTGTTTAACAATTGTTTACATAGCTACATAGATTCCGGTTGGTCTAGTGGCTGGATACTTTATAAGCTATTAGTATCCCTTGATGCTAATGGTTAATGCTTCATTCAAGCATAAAACATGGTCTTCCAAAGTCCCGATTCCAATATCCATCAATCTCTAAAAGGTACCTCTGCCATAAGGTATACGGCATACTTATACACAACCACAGTCATATACAAGAACGATTCTAGAAACTGGAACTTGGTCGTATTTTTCTCTCGCTCGCGGAAAATGGTAGCGGTAGAAGTTGAATGGTTTGAGAATGTCTAACTTCCTATGACCCCGCTTTTTCCACAAGAGCAACGATGCACGCGAAGAAGCAATTGCGTCTTTTCTTTTAAAAGGAAAACTGCACACTCTTTCCGATCCACCGCGTCGTTTTGCGTGCAAGCAAGGATACGAGTCTCTGAAAGTAAACGATACTAATATCAACCCAATGTTAATTTGCATTTTAGCATGAATCACGAAGATGCAATTGCAGCAATTAATGTAAATTTACTGGTGACTTTCGGCTTCAGTCTTTGGCTTGGAATATAATAATACGAAACATATGGCAGGGTGTTAAACAAGTTCGAAAATAGCGAAACGATGACTTTAAGCCCGCCACTAATTGGACGTTTTAATTTCAACAAAATCCCTGACATTGACCGCAACAAATGATCGATTCGCGGTGGACTGACCCAGCCGTCTCTTTCTCGGTTGAACCGCAAATTCAACCGCACCCTGTATATCAGGGCCAAGAACGAAGGACAGCGAAAAGTACCGAGACACAATTATCCCCTCGCGCTGGAATGACGTCTCCAGACGTCAGATTTTTCTCGAGCCATAAATGCCATGAACATCTCTCGGATGTCGGAATTTTCCCGAGCTATAAATGTCAAGAACGTCTCCCAAACGTGTCGGTTACTTATGGTCACCAAAACGAACGAGTCGATACGGGACACGTTTTCCGAATGGGGCGTTAGAATTCTTTTTTTTTTTTTAAGAAAACTAGTCGATTTATATTATTACGAGCGACTCAAGCTTTAACTTCAACTCGACTGTAGTTCAACGTGGAATGCGGAAACATTAGAAATTTATTCTTTTGAAATAGATAATCTGGTCTTGGACTATTGTGTGACCTCGAGGTTCCAGTATGCCTGAGTGAGCGGCACAAATGCCACTTCTTTCTCCTACATTTAAACATCTGTTTCTAAACAAGGGCACAATGAGATGCATACAATCAAATTCTGAAGGGTTTCGGTACCGGATAACTACTTTGACCAGAAATTGACAATGGTGCAAACGTTTAGTAGAGAAGAAACTGTTCCAAATTTTTTACTCTACCAATTTCCCTCACTTTCACAATTGCACGCGAGAGTCGCCATGCGACTGTTAAGGAAAAAACCGGGGAAGAACCATCGAGACTATAAGGATGAGGAATGCCCTTTCACATGAACGTCTAAGAACCTGGAGGCTCACTTATTGCCTCGGTATTCGTCTACCCGCCCATGTGAAAGAGCTCTAATTATAAGTGTCGGGAAACTGTCGCTTATGCCAAGTTTTCCTACAAATTCCCTGACAATTTTACGTGTACCTCGCTAGACTGTAATTTTCTTGAAAGCAGTGCTCCCCAAAACGTGAAGCCGAGTAACAAGAATCTTTTCAGTGTTAGTCAACAAACGAAATCACTTTACTATCGAGTAGTATAACATGAATTCCACCGAGACTCCCGGAACGTCCTGGAAATGAAGGAAAAGGAAAGTTACAAGTAACGCAACAACGTCTTTTGTTCTCGCGTATTCGGCTGAGGTTAATGCGACCTTAGCGGATAAAATTTCGTTGCTATGCAATCCCTTTCAACCTTTCGCGGTCGCGAAGATTATTTCACAGCTATTGTACTTATTAGATGCATTTCAACAACGAAAATCCTCAAGTCCCCGAATGAAATAGTATTCTGCAACGAGCAAATTATTTAAATATTTAAATATCACACAGACTCGTCGGGAAAGTCCGTGTGTAAGAAGTGCATCGCAATTTACGCTAACTTTATCTACAGATTGCGTTATCTTTCGCGGCTGAAACGTGCGCTGACGCATAAAAGAGTGAATGTTTGTATGTCACCGCGGAATCTGTTTCACAATTTGCACATACAATGTTATCTCTTAATGCGATTTGCTTCATCAGACACATGCGAGACATCGAGTATCAAACTGTGCATCAGAGCCGCATAGTCTGAACTATAGCGGTGTTCTTATTCCCGTCAGTCACTCGGGACTGGGGGTTGCTATTACGGACATGGTGGCGATTTTGTTCTACGAACAGTGTCGCTTGGTTTTAAATGCAAGCGTCAGGCATTCGGTTGCTTTGAAAACACGAGACGTCGACGGTGTAGCGTGTCAGAGATAACGTCGGAGCTCGCTTCGAGCTAGCAGCTCCAGAAACAAGTAGGGATAACTTTCTGACGGGAGTATGGGCCTAAAACAGTGACGATAAAAACAGCTTTTCCGTATTTAATGAATCATAGATGTGGGATAGTCTATTCTGCATGTGCCATTCTGTCCCACGGTCTTTTTCCGCCACGAACGCCGCTTGCAGTTAGTCGCCTGTATTATAAATGTGAACATTATGAGGGAGCCGATTTACTAGCAGGTGGCCACGATACCATCTTTTCCTCTATGAAATTATGGTAGTGGTATACGTCTTCGTTTGATACGATCGATAAAATCAGAAAATCTAGCGTTATAATTGTTTTCACATCGTAATCAACGTAAAAACTTACAACTCCTCCCTCTGACGTTGAGACAGCACCATTTTCATGATCCTTGCGTGTGTTTGCTGGCTGATACTCAACAGTGATTCGAATGAGCGCGACTAGATTCTTCTCCAGTCAGCTCCTGATTACTTTAGTACCGAGTTGTCGACATCGCCTGTAACATAAAACAATAACAATGTTGGTTAAATATATATAAAATATTGCTCCATGTACACAGAAAGTTACAGTATGTTTTAGTAGATTATAATTTCTCATTTTTAGCCAGACGTGCAACGATCAGCTAGCTCCCTAAACAAACGTGAACGATAATATTTACCTTCTATTATCGAAAGATAATAGACAAAGAATTGATGGTAAAGTGCCGACAAATTTTTGGAATTGTTTTGTTAAAAACGCAGTTAACCGAGGAGGGATCACATACTATAATAAGTATTAAACACCGACTATCGATAGGCTGATAATGAAAACGTTAAAATATGTTAATACGAAAGGTAAACTTCAATTGAATGGTACAATAAAATGGCATTTACGATTGTCAATCAATCTCTAAAACGATTAGGTACGATTACTTTGATTGATTGATTACAATATCACAAAATAATCAGTTATCTGGTATTCATTAATCGACCTGCTCCAACAAAAGTGTGCCAATGTTTACATTGAATCATCCTCGCGTGGATTTGTTGTGAATACAGAAACTCGACAGGTGTATTTTCCTCTTAAAAAACAAAGTCCTAAAGCCTCGTATGAGAAATCCTTTATAATAAAACTATTGCAAAACGACTAGTTGTCAATCATTGGTATGAAAAACGATGTGAATTATGCGTTAACAGTACGAGTACATTAGAATGCGAAACGTGGACTAGTTTCGTTCGTACAAAACATTGTACAACAGCAACACGTTGTCCTTGCTGGTAGATGGCTGAGAAAAAAACGATTCCGCGTACATCGACCAATAAATAAACGACACAGCATTCTTGCACAGGGTATCAATTTATCTTGAAGTATTTTTTTGAGTCTTGAATTGCTTTTTAATGTCATGAAATATTTTTGGCGTCGAAACAACTGCAGCAAATATGTAAGCGACGCTCAGTACAAGGAGATCGACAGATGTTGAATATTTACCCGGACAACCATTAATTATGTGAGCTGCACTTGTAACAGCAGAGGAAACAGACGTGTGTAATCATTACAATAAATTCGTATACCCATCACGGCTTCCAGTTCGTTATAATGGAACACCGATGCCACGTTAGTGTAGATATTAAAAAATACGAACGAAACACAGTTTCCTAACATAAAACAACGGAGTAACACGATTTTCCGTATTACTGTGAAACTGTACTTTTACCGTTTAAAATACTTCCAGCGAAACGTTTTCCTATCCAATGAAAAAAGAAAATACACGAGCATTGAAAGGAACGTGTGAGAACGATTAGTCCCGAACTCCTTAATAGGAACAATAACATTCTCCCTAGACTGCAATCAATGCCGCAATTTATTTTACTTTCCCATAGGCGACTCGCATTTTTCTCATAAGCGCCACTGAAACATTCATTTCAATTAGAGTCCGCAAATTTCACGTTGGAAACGCAAAGAGAAATAATTAAAAAAATTTAACGAAACGTTGTCATTCGAGCGTTTCGTTTAATTTGGGAATAAACCAATTATTATTTACATATTGGGCTGTCTGGAAAGTCCATGCCGATTTTTAGTAGGCGGGACAGGTCCGAATATGTCGGAATGGCTGAAAACAAATAACACGTATACATTCCTTGAAAGGTGGAAAAGTTGTGGAACAAAAATGGTACATATATATAATTCAATAAATATACATCAAAATTCAAATATGCCTTTGAATTTTTCTTAAAAATAGGCACGAACTTTTCGGACAACCCGATGCTTTGACGAGTCGTCGTAGCTCTGTAACACTTAATTCGACGACAGACAACGCATAAGTACCAAAATATCGATTGCATTTCTCTTGCCGCTCGGAAACGCTCATCGCGATGCAATCCCGAGTATGACATAACATTTGGCAAAAAACGCGGGCTTCGATCGAATAAATAAATAGAAACGCGATTGGCCAGTGATATACTAACGACAGTAAGAAAAGTCCACTGTGATTGGCGAGAGCGAGTCAAATGAGCCAATTAGAAGCGACGAATCGCGAGCAGCCATACTTCCCCGCTAACGTTCGAGTTCGACGAGTCGCGGGTCCAAAATTATTCGAAACACGGGTTTTTTTCGGGGACTGTTGTATGAAAAACAATTCGCCTCGAGAAGAAATACGGCACGAGGGAGGACCTTGACAATCGCAAGAACGTGCTGCGTCGTCGCGACGCTTTATGACGATGCTTATCGGCGCGATGCGCCGTAATCGATAAACCGGCTGTCCGCCCACCCTCGGTGTCGTGTATGTTTCACCTTGCGGTGCATTCAAATATTCATGCCAGCCTCCTTCGATTCTCAATGCTCAATCGCATTACAACCACCATAAACGTTAAACACAAGATTACCACGATCTTTCACGTAACTTTTACCACTCGCGTACCACGCGTTATTATTTTGTTGACAAAACTTCGGCTAGATGCGCCCCACTTTCGGAGGTTGCGTAGCGTGTTACGAATCGGTTTAAAAATAAAGTTCCCGTATTTCTAGTGGGACGAGATATTCTACACGAGACATTCTAATTGTTAAGGTAGATTTGCAGTCGGTTGACAAACGGGAGAAACGCGTGTATTACTCTCAGCGTTGGTGCTAACACTTGCTTTCTAATACGAGATCTTGTCAAGATACGTATGATATTAATCACCTATGACTTTTCACCACGGCTATTTCCGGGATCGTCTGTCGGGTGAGCGACTCTTGGCCTTCTCGACCCCGCCGATCTACCTGTGGCTTCGCTCTTCTCTAATCTTCTTACGTTCTAGCACGAGGAACTACTAGAGATCGTTGGCAAGCTCCGTAGCGTTAGACACACTGAGGTTTCTCGGTTTGCGCGCTCAAGAGGGACAAGGCGAGAGAAACTCGTTTGGCAGCAATGTCAGTTTCCGAGAAAAATCTTCGCAAGTTGAGAAAAACGTGCATCTAATACCGAAAAGATAATCGTTCGATTACATGAATGCAATTTTACGTTGCACGGAAAAACGTCATCGAGGATCGGAGTTGCTGATAAACCCGACAGCTGATCGCTGACTCGACAGCATTTCGCGCGGACACCGTCTGTCAAAAGGTGCGAATTACATCTGATCGTTCGCGGTCTGACGGATAAGATAACGTCTAAGACCGAGAATTGGTGGAATTCAATGCAAAGATGCAAGTTCGGTGGGTCGACAGTTGCGGCAAAGCGGCCGTACCACCGCACCACGCAAGCGGTCACTCGCGAAAAAATCAATTCGAAGTGACGTGCAACATGTACGTAGAATATGTGTGGTACACGACTCGACGACCGACCGAGAATCACCGATCGGTGTCTTGGTCGGTTTTCGATCGAGTGTACGATATCGGACGGTGTCATGTCGGTCAGAAAGCACTGATACGAAATCATCGTACGAACGCGGAACAACTGTTTGTTGTAAATCGTGTACGGCCATTTTGCTAGAACCTGTCACGTCTGGTTGCCGTAAAATTTTGCAGCCAGCCTGACCGACCCGCTCGCAAATACAACGTCGAAAACAAACATCGCAGACTGAGTGTTCGATACTCACGTCTTTTTTGTCAGAGTAGCAGTAACCGGGATCCTTCGAGATCGGAAAAAATCACGGGAAAACCGGACGAACACAACCACCGAAGAACTACTCGAGATAACTTCTACGATAGGACTGTCTCGCAAGGTGGCGCCTGCGAGATTCTTCGATCCACACGCATGCGTCAAGTATCGATGTCACAAATCTCCCTCTATGTCCTAGGAACTATTCCTTCGAACTAGAATAGTGGTTCTCAATCCTCTTCGCCTCGTGGCTCAATTTTCATCTTTATTTATCTCTATGTGTGCGACATTATACCCCTTACTATTTGAAACATAATTTTATAACATTTGTTGTAAAGGTTATGTTTGGAATACACATTTATTAAATACTCAAACATAAAGTAATATACAAAAAAGGAAAAATATATTCTTCGTCTGCAAATTAATAATACATATAACACGCATGTTATTACGAAAAGAAAAACAAACAAGATTCATTAGATACAAAATAAGATACGCCGAAGCAAAGAAAATACAAAGAATTAGAGAACGCGGTCCGCTTCCCCTACATGACCGAAAGTACAATCAGACATTTCGCAATCGGCGCGAATCAACATCGCGCCGCATTTAAAACTTGCGTGATGCCGAAAGGAAACGAATGTAACCCTATAACATCTCATCACGTTAACCGTGATTGATGCCGTGCCATGCATTACTATAATTTATTAGAGAAACAATGGTACAAACCATGAAGGGAACCACAAATGTGAAGGGAACTTCGAACTTTTGTTGTACGTGTGGATGCACCCTAATTTTCGTAGCTCCCAGAAAATACGGTCCTACCAGAAATCCTACCAGAAAGGTCATATGCCACCGGTTGAGAATCACTGAAAACTTGAAAATTTGCCGTAATAGCCCATAATGACCACTAGGGAGTTTTTTATTAATTTTATTTACATCTGAGAGAGAGATTAAACGATCTTAAAATATCGCAATAATATTTCGGGGGCATTGAATGAATACCGATATCGTAGAAGCTTTTAAGATTTTATCTAAATGGAAATATACTTATGACACTGATATTAGAGAAGTAAAGTGACGTTTTCAAAGTTTGTTCGTTTAAAGAGGTTAAGGTAACGCACAGTTATTCCGAAATGTAAACATTGTCAAAATATTGATATTTCGTTCGAAGGCATCGACCTATTCGCGATCGAAGTATTTATGCTAAGTACATATTTTTTTGTATTTTTTTTTAAACTAGAATTGACGGATAGATTAAAAGCGAGCGACAGTGTAACCTGTTTCCGATTAGGCATTTGTCTTTTCGTTCCATAAACTGGAGGAATTGTAAAACTTATTCTCCTATTTCGAAACAAGGAATCTAAATTTTTGATGGCTTTTTCACAATCAAATTCAAGAGGTATTATCATTCATAATTTCATAATTCTTCTGAACATAAAGCGAAGTCTTTACTTAGATTGGTTATAGAATTGCAAAACAGAAAAATCTTAGAAGAATTACAACTGAAGAAGCAGATGCTATTAAAACAAGGTGTGGCACCAACATTGAATGCTTCATTAGCTGTTACATCAACAGGTTCTCCTTCTAGTTTGGTAAAGATTTGATTCGTATACTGTAAATTTATCTAAATTGTAAGACATACTATTGTATGTTTTATATACTTTTCATATACCTCTTGGTTAGCCTTCCACACAACCCACTGATGGTGTTGCAATGAGTGCATCGCAAAGAGCTGCCTTGCATAATGCACATGCAGCCTCATCAGGATACTTTGTGACACAGGACTCTTCTTTTGGCAATCTAATTTTACCTGTGCTTCCCAGGTTTGATACTAAATAAAAGACTAATTAATTAACATATATCGAAATTGTAAATAAATGGTTACAAAGACTGTATATGTAAATAAGTGTAGAGAAAGTGAATACACATAAGAGTCGAATAGTTTCTGAGTATATCTCCTATGAAACTGGAGAATAATACAGAGTACCAATTGATAACTAAGTATAGGAAATGGCTAACATACAACTTCGTGAATTAGAAGAATATCTACAGCAGTTGGATGGGTTTGATAAACCAAAAATATTACTTGAACAGTACTGTACTAGTGCACATATTGCATCACGTATGTTGTATAGTGCCCAGTCCCAATTTAATGATATAGAACAACGTACAGTAGCTGATTTAGGCTGTGGATGCGGTATCTTGTCACTTGGGGCACAAATGCTTGGAGCAAATCATGTAATAGGCTTTGAAATAGACTCTGATGCACTTGAAATTCAAACCAGAAATTGCAATGAAATAGAACTATTCGTGGAAGCTGTACAATGCGATGTACTTCAGTATCTACCAGGTATATATGAATATATAAAATTTATTTGTTAAAAAATAATACATGAGTTTTTCGTTTACAATTGCATTGCAGGTAAATTCGAAAAATATTTTGATACGGTGATAATGAATCCACCTTTTGGAACAAAACATAATGCAGGTATAGATACGAAATTTCTAGAGATCGCAATCAAACTTGCATCAAATACCGTGTATTCATTGCATAAAACAAGTACGCGTAATTACATTCTCCAAAAAGCTGCACGATTCGGAGCCAAAGGGAAGGTTATCGCAGAATTGAGATACGATCTACCAAAAGCATACAAATTTCATAAAAAAGCCTGTGTAGACGTTCAGGTGGATTTTATACGATTTGAATTAAATCACTGACATATTTTCACTAAATGGATTGTGCATTCTATTCAACTATTCAAACTTGATGCCTTGAGCCAATGGCAATTCATTTCCATAATTAATAGTGACAGTTAGACGTCGCATATATTGTTTCCATGCGTCGCTTCCACTCTCGCGACCACCACCCGTAGCTTTCTCTCCCCCAAATGCACCCCCTATTTCTGCACCGCTAGTTCCAATATTAACATTTACTATTCCACAATCAGAACCATGGGGACCCGTCCACTGTAAGACAATATTTGTGTCGTTAGTAACGCTGGTATGACGTAGCGTCATGGCGGACATAACGGCTGGTATAAGATATAGTTACATAGCATACCTGAAATATATGTTCCATACGTCTAGTAAACAGAGAACTACTTAGTCCTTGTTCTACGCCATTATTAAGAGCAATTGCGTCGTCTACAGAATTCACTTCGAAAACGTATACAATCGGTGCGAAAGTTTCTTTTTGAACTACCTCTGCATCCGGCGATAAACCGGAAATAATTGTTGGTTCGACATAAAAACCTGGTCTGTCTATTTGCTTCCCGCCAAATTCAATTTTACCGCCGTTCTTCAGAGCATTATTTACAGTTTTCTGTAAAATATCATAATTAGTTTATTCTCGATCGCAAAGAAATAATAATTTGTATAAAATATTACTACCTTATATTCATCTACCGCGTCTTGGTTGTGCAATGGTCCATACAACGTGTTGTTCTCTAAAGGATCTCCTATCCGCTCCAGAATACTCTCGTACGCTTTTTTTATTTTTCCTACAAAATTTACAAATTATCTTGTTACTTCGACATTTTTTATATCATCGCACTGTTTTAAAATTATTGTCTTAAATGTTACCTAAAAATTCGTCTTTTATTTTACGATGAAGAATCAATCTTCTAGTACTAGTACACCTTTGTCCTGCTGTTCCCACGCAAGAAAACACTGCTGCTCTGACTGCCATTTCCATATTTGCATCTTCGTCAACTATTAACGCGTTGTTGCCTCCTAATTCTAATATAGGTTTTCCGAAACGTTCGATAACCTTCATACCCACTTTTCTTCCGACGTTAGTACTTCCGGTAAATGAAACCACGGGTACACTTCGAAATAGAAATAGAAGATAATGCTATATATAATACAGTTGAATTAACAGGTCTAAATGTCTCTGGACTTACCGTTTATCATTTACGATAGTTTCGCCAACATCTGACCCACCCGTTACCAAAGACGCGATAGACCCTGGTATGCCGTTTCGTTCTAATACACCCGCGATAATTTTAGTAGTCGCAATAGATACTAAAGGAGTAGTGGGTGCTCCTTTCCAAACTACTGTATTTCCACAAACCAATGCTATAGCAGTGTTCCAGCCATACACCTTCGGTAATATTATTCTTTTTCGTTACAGCTTTTTTTTTTTAAATATTTTCATTAGTCGAAGTTATACTTACCGCAACGGGAAAATTAAACGCCGAAATAACTCCCACAACTCCGACGGGTTGCCATTTTTCCAAAAGCGTATGATGTTTTCTTTCTGACGGCAAGACTTTGCCTGATAATGTTCTAGATAACCCAACGGCATAATCGCATATGTCAATAAACTCTTGAACCTCACCGATACCTTCTGGCAATATTTTCCCTAACGAAGTATACGATTAGAGTTAAGATAAATTAACGAAAGAACGCTAATTTGTAATTATAAAAATTTACCCATTTCTAGGGACACCAATTGTCCTAAGGGTTTTAAATTATGTCGAAGATCTTCTCCAATTTGCCGTATTATTTCTCCCCTTCCAGGTGGTGGCAGTGATACCCACTGTGGCCATGCTTTTCTTGCTTCTGTAATAGCATTACTTGCTTCCTGTGCAGTTGACGTTCGAACTTTTGCTATTACTTGGCCAGTTGACGGGGAAATCGATTCTATAACCTAGTTGATAAAATTAATGTTTTTCTATCGTTGTTGAATATTAATTTCCATTAACAATACCTTGCCAGATCCTCCCCATCGCCCATCGTAAAGACCGGGATTCTCTGTTGTAAGACCTAATTCATTTAAGAACCCGTACTTCGGGTCAGTCACCAAGTACCTTACCATCTGTAACTCAGAAACGCGACTAGTACTTCGAGAGATTAAACGAAACATTGCAAATTGTCTGCTACCAACTCGTGAAATGTTATAATGCAATGTAATAACATCGAGTCTTATCAGAGCAGCTTCTCTTATCAGGAACCAAAGGAGGGATATGATAAAAATAAAACAAGAAATATCTTAAGACACATTAGAATCGATTACTTAATCTACCGCATACATTATGATTACTTATAATGGTACTTCTCCATCCCGATAAGTGAGACTTATATCGGAAACACGTTTGTATGTTTTTTTTCTGATGGGGATAGGTTTAAAAATTAAGTTTATAGGACAAACTGAAGTAAAAAATATTATGTCACATAAAAATATTTATAAAACGCGTTTTATTCTGTAACGATAACGTTCACAACATCACAATATACGGCAGTGATTTACACACATCGATAGATTTAGAAAACATTTCGTCCTTTGCCATTTTACAGTTAGAAATTTTGGTAGTCATCTCGAGGCACAGAAAATGGAGATTCTTCGTAAATGCTAGTTCCTTTAAATTTCAATGTTGAAATTGTATCAACCAGTGTCAACGTAATCCAACCTTTTCGTTAGATTATTTTTATTTCAGCCAGGTCGACAAAATTGATAGCATCGTAAATCGGAGATTAGTTGAAGCACCGATCTCGTTAGAGTTGGTTGATCCTATCAATATTCAATTAGCGTCATAAATAACTGCAAATGTTAATTGAACAAATTATATTTTCGAAAGTAACTCACCGTAGATTTATCGAAGTTTCCTAACAGCGTGGCTTTTTGCATGTCGTCTACTCCTTCGCAACTTGCCAAAAACGTCGGCAGAAAATGTCCAAAAAACCATGCTATATTAACAGAAGCTAAACTATGAACAGCTGTTGCAATTTCATCTGCTAATAAATTATGGGACCTGAGAATGGATATTGTTAAAGTACATCGTGTATTAAAGCGATAAATTATGGTCTAAGTATTTGATCGAACTCACTGTTGAAAAAGAACAGTGAATAATGCCATTAAAAATCTCTCGAGTAAATGAACCTTGAACACCGATCGTTGATAAAGTCGCCATCGTACGTTCAATTGTTCAAGGCTCTGCAAACTTTGTCGGAATATATTTACATCTGGCTGAAGAAGAGCCTGACCAAAAGCTTCTAAAATTGCGACCAATTCTTCCTTGTGCTCAACCAATTCTTCTTCATCGGTATGACCGAGGGTGCGTAATACAGAGGTATTGTAAAAGTATTGCCATCGATGCATAAGAATACTAAATAAAAATTTTAAATTAATTATTATGTAAAATACAATGTGGGAACGTTAGACGGCTCATTCGTTACCTATGGAAAAGTTTTAATAAAACAAGCGTCGTATCTGGATGCACGCTAAGATTATTTCCGATAGCTGGCCACACTTGACCTAAGCATAAATTGGTCACTGAAGGGACAAATGCTTTAAATGCACTACTAGGCGCCGACACGACCAATACTAAAATTTCTAACAATTGATCTAACGCAGGTCCCGCGGAGATATTTTCCCTGGAAGCGTATTAAACAAAATTTTTGTTTACAAGCTAGAATTGAAAGTAGTAGGTTATAATAATAAAAATTAAATTACCCACTTAGTATAAATATGCAACATTCCTTGAACTGCATTCTGAGTAAACTCAGGCCCTAATTGCTGCTGTAATACTGAAAATACCGAATGCAAAAAACTCAGCAAAATTTCACATACAGTTTGACACCTTATCATGTATGGCAACAATTCTAATATTCGATTTATCGTTGATCCCAAACACGAATGCAACATTCTCTTTATCGTCGTGGACGAGGAAGAACAGTCTTCTAGTAACTGAGTTAATGGCACTACCGTCATTGAAATTGTGGCTTCTGAAGGCACAGGTTGTCCCTCTGAACCCAAAGACGTAGATAACGTTGATACCATGGTACCTGTTTGCATGGTTAATTGTAGTACAATTTGCATACTCAACAGTTATTATTAGTTTTATTTATTCGTTTTATGCGTGTGTACCTAATAGTCTTTCTCGGATAATTCCATCGCCGTGCGGTAAAATAATTGCGTTTACTAATGCCCTGCGCAACACCTTTATCGTATCGGGTTTCATATATGGGTACAATATCATAGAAATTGAATTTCTAAATGTAGGTTCATCCCACAAAATTGGTTTCAAAATAGCGGTAATGCTTTGAAACAAATGCGTGGCAGAATGGGTTAGACTGGCTGGCGGCGGATCATCACAGAATATTGCATAATCTAATGCCAAAATACACGAATCGATGCAGCGTTGACAAAGCGATTCTTTAACTTTCTCTGGTCTGTTGGCTATCCAATGACACCAAGCTTGAAGTGATGCTAATAACTGTGAATGTCTAACCAACAAAATATATCGTGAAAATAAAACTCATTCTATTTTATAAACGCCCTATTTGCTAAATGTTACTCACACTTCTATGAGATCTATTACGATTGCAGCTGGTTGTAGCGATGCTTTGTATAAGTGGTTAATATTTGCAAATTTACATGCATCTAATGTTTGAGATACTACCTCCTCAGCTAACGATTGATCGATACTTTGTTCATCTCCTGTCATTGAATGATACAGTTAAAAGTTTTCAAATATTACAATCCTATTACTTGTACGAAAAAATTAATTTACCGAGAAAAAGTGAATATAGCCTAGCTAACGCTTGGGTTGTCGAAGCTAAATCTCGCAAATGTGCATGTATATTGGAAGCCTCCGATTCGTTTAACAAAATTACTTGATTATTAGCAATAGCAGCACCTAATTCTCCAAATATTATTAGTCCTTCTCTCCAAGACCGATACTAAAAAAATTTACAAGAATCATAACCTACAAATTAAGTTCAATACATCTACAATTACACGCAACTTTACCAGTAATGTGAAAACTGGCATAGGAGAAATATCTGCGACCTTCGCTAAACATTCTATATTACATCTTAAGAAATGTTGCCATTCAGTTTCTTCCTGTAATCAATTATTCGATGTATGTATGTATCGTAAATGTATCGTAAACAAAAAACAACTAAAATCAAGTTTCGTGAATTTTCTCACATTTTCGTCTAAACTTTCTGTGTCAAGATCTTTCAGTGCCCGCGTATTAAGTTTGAAACTCATCTTCTGCAGTACTCTCTCGGCAAGAGCTAACGCTACCGGCGCATACTGAGCTTGCGTGCTTTCTAAAAGAGTGGTCCACACGTCTAAGCATCTTAGATATCCGTTCGCCGTTGAGCATTGTTGAAAAGTGTGATGACACAAAACTTCCAGTAACGTATTCACTGGAAATTTAGGACATGACTCAACTCTCTTCAGGTGATTCGTTACAAATAATTGTAAGAACTCTGTTAATTTCTCCATATAACTGGAAATGCAATGTACCTCATTTAAAAATATTATATTTCGTCTATAAAAATGCTTAAGGTTTAATATAAAATTATTTAACTTGACGAGTAGATACCTATCGTCTATTGAATCCAAACGTTCCATAAATTGAAATAACGTAATTCCATTCTGAAATATTTCTACCAATAACCTATCGGTAACATCGGGAGAACACAATGGCCGATATAAAAGTTCATTTATCGTGGTCACAGCTTGTACAGCCATTTCTATCTGCTTCCCATTCTATTAATAAAATTTACAGTTAGCTAGAATATCGCCTAACTGCGTGATAATATTTTGTAACGTTTAACATAGAACCCTACCATTGCATCGTGATACCTGGCACAGGTAAATATGGCGTTCAGTAAGTTTGTTGAAATATGTTCCGATAATTCAATCCAGCTAAACAAGTGTGCTAATACATCCAGCGTCGCTATACACACCTCGCTGGTTCCTATTGCTAATCCTTCCACATCCAAAATAGCTCGTGCAGGTGCTACAGTTTGACCGCTGGTAGGCGATGGGGGTGGTGTGACTGTTCCAGAGCGGCTTTGTAATTTGGTTGTCTCTTTTAAAAGTACTGAATTGGAAAAATAATATTAATTTTTGTTCAATAACTTTTTTATTTTTAACACAAAAACCCATACTTGCAAGAGTATCCAAAGTCAGAGGTACTTGAGCACTGAGAAACCTGAACAATTCATTCTTTCTTTGCATTGGTAAATCTTCTCTTGGAGTTGCTAGTTCCTCTGAAGCTGTTCTTAAGTAGATGAGACCCAACAGTCTTGTATGTTTGTGACTTAATAGCTGTAAATATATACACAATAACATTTATTTAAATTGAAGATACTTTATACAAAATAAAAATTTTATACTAGTATATTTACACACCTGTAAAATATTTGAATAAAAATCTGGATAAAAATGTGGCCAGTCATGCCTAGCAATATCTACAACTAGTTTGACTACTTTGTTTCTTACAAAAGGAGCTACACCTCTTTCTAATGATAATGTATATAAGGTTGATCTTGTAAGAGCTCTGTCCTCCCATGGAAGAATTGGCCACCTTCTGCCAATTGTTGTCTAGAATAATATTATAAGAGTATTCTATAGTGAAAGTATTCCATCATAATTTTATATGTAGATACATACCTCCAAGGTGGACAGAGCAAACATACTAACATAATGATTGTTAGTAGAAGATAAAAAATGCAAACAAGGCCGCCAAGAATCAATTTGTCCAGCAAACTCCTGAAAACTTTGTTCAATCATCCGTTTTCTTTCATTACTTGTCTCTGCAGAAAAAAACTCTGTCATAAGGTGTTCCAAATTTTGCAAAGCAGCAGCATCATTGTCCTGTAAGTTAAACATTTATTGTACATTTTTTTAAACACAAACTGTATTATGAAAAATGCCACATTCTTAGATAAAATTCAAATGTAATTCAACATTATGATGCAAATGTTTCAATCTCAAAATTATGGAGTGTCAAATGATAAAAAGCAACATTCCCAGGCTATTGCTACTCATGTTTAATCAAGGCTTAAAACCATCCATTGCTTCATATTAATGTACATGCATCATGTCTCATTGCCAATGATGATAAACTTCAGAAATGATCAATGTTGTTGATGGAAGTGACAACGAGAGACAAGCAAAAGAAGTTAGCAATTGCTGAACAATGAATCTTGTCGACACTCAATGTGGGACTCACCCACAAACCAAGTTTCGTGTCTTCTCCATTGATACAGCCTTCTCCATAGAAAATACAATAGTTTTGAATAGCTTGGGAAACGTTTAAGCCTTGATCAAACGCGAGGAACGATAAGTGTCAGAAATGTTGACTTTTGTGGACTTGAAACTCCATGATTTAGAACCTAAAACATTTACATTTCTGAGTTTTATTTGCATCTAACTTTCGTGAGCACGTACCATGATAGCTACTGTCACAAAACGAGTCTCGCTAAAAATGCTATACGTAAATCAATGTAAATACAGAAACCAGAGGAGGTTAGAGTTTTACTTGTCAGACGTCATGTTCAAAGCAACAAATAATCAAAATACTCGATCGTACAGGACGTAAACGCGACTCCACATGTATATTTATGACATTCGAGTACCTAGACACAAGCCCATTTAGTATTATTCTGGACCAATGAGGTTTTATCGCAAGTCACGTGGTTTTGTTTACAGCTATTGCTTATTGCTGAACGAAGTATTATTTATTGTATATTTAAAGTTCAGTGTTAGCAGGCTCTTTGTTATCATGTCGTCACTCCAAATTTTAAATTTTAGTATGGCACTGTAATTTTTTATTACATAATATTTTACCATGCTTTTTTGAATGAAATGTATCATGACAACTCTTTAGGAACGAAGATAAACATTTCGAATACAAAATTATAAAGTATAAAGTCTGATACAGTAATACTGTTTACATTTATGCACTTTATTATACTTCGTAAACATAGTTATAAAACATTGTCATAAAATGTTTTTTAGAAATTTGTTTAAAAGAAAGTCAAATGTATGTTTACTACCAGAGAAGTGTTTTTGCTGTGTACAAATATTTGTCTAATTATTATATTCATTTCTTAGATACCACCACAAAAAGTTGTAAATAATATTTTTGGCAATTATGAAATTGTTAAACCATGGCCAGTTTCTGAGATTAGGAAAGTACCATCGTGTATATCTAAGCCATCTTATAGTCAATCATCTATACCAAGGGAAGGTCCAAAGAAACCTGAAATTAAAGATAAAAATCAAATAAAGTGCATGAGAGATAGCTGCTTTTTTGCCAGAAAAGTGTTGAATCATATTGGGCAACATGTAAAGGTATCTAATATATGGTTAACATCAAATTTAATTGACTATTTTGCCAAACTAATCAGTTTTATTATAGCCTGGCATAACCACAGATGAGTTAGATGCAATTGCCCATGAAATGATTATAAATAATGGTGCTTATCCTAGCCCTCTTAATTACAGAGGGTTCCCAAAATCAATATGTACTAGCATTAATAATGTTGCATGTCATGGTATCCCAGACACTAGACCACTGCAAAAAGGAGACACACTCAATATTGATGTAACAGTGAGTGAAAATATAATTTTAAGGTGTATGCATTTATATAAAAATGTAACAGTTTATGTTATTTTATATTTAGGTATATTTAAATGGGTACCATGGAGATTGCTCTCAAATGTTTGAGGTAGATGAATGCGATGAAGAAGCCAAACGATTAATAAGTGTGACAGAATTATGTTTAAAACATGCCATTAATATTTGTAAACCAAATGAAAATTTTTGCAACATAGGTAACTATTGCAATAGTTAAAATGGAAATGAGAATCTATACATTTCTGTTTAACTTTCAGGAAATATTGTTCAAGAGATTGCAAATAAAAATGAATATTTTGTAATCCCAGCATTTGCAGGACATGGTATAGGTACTTACTTTCATGGGCCACCAGATATTTTACATTTCGGTATGTTAATATTTGTATTTCTTATATGTATGTATATATATTAGACTAATATGTTATATATTTTATTATCATTAGCAAATAATTTTCCCGGAAAAATGCTGCCCGGAATGACGTTTACTATCGAGCCAATTTTAACTCCCGGTAACACGGAAATCGAAATTTTAGAAGATGGATGGACATCTGTCACGGTTGATAATTCGCGCACTGCTCAAGTTGAACATACTATTTTAATTACCGATGTGGGTTGTGATATATTGACTAGTTAACTTTGTAAAATTATCCCTTCCATCTTTGTGTAAATGTCCCAAATAAATTATATATATATGAGAGGTTAAGCAATGGTATACTTTTATTGTAAATACTTTTATTAACAAAAAGTTTATTCATATTCATCTTTACATGATAGCAGGTCCCCAATAGCTGTCGAGCGTTAACGGTCCTTGTATTTCAGTACCTCCATCTTTTGTGATTATACCAAGTTGATACTACAAATACATAAGGTTAGGTGTTTTTTTATATCATATGATTTGAATATAATTCACGACTTACCTTCGGGAAAGATCGCGCATCTCTATAAAACAGAACTTGCATTACTTTGTATACAAGATCTATTGCTTCCTGTTTTGTCATCTCTTTATTCTCTTCATGAGCTTTTCTCAGAATAGGTGTTGCCATGTATGCACCATATCCAGTCGCAATCACTGGATCACTATAAGCTGTACCAAGTTTATCCACGGTACCCAAAAATCTATACAAAGTATTTAAATGAATGTTGCATATGAAATTGATGTATGAGAAAAGAAACAAAATACTTACAACTTATCACCTTCTATACCACCAATAATGAAATTATTCCAAAATGGGTTAAATTTTGATCTTCTGTTATACATGACTCTAGTTAACCAACAATAAAGAGCTTTTGGTTTTAGAGATAAACCATCATCCAGACAATCTTCCTCAAGGCTATAATACATATGTACAATAGAATAAAAAATTATAAAATACAAAGAAGACAATAATAAAAACATACATTTTTCGTTCAATGTTACTTTTAAGACATTGATAATCAGCATAGTCTCCTCCTGCACCAAGAATAATGTTGTTATTGACTTTCATTATTCGTTCAAGATTCCTGAACCGAGCCAGTGATCCATAGGATCCAAGAATGTCAGCTGCTATGAGAATACCATCCTTAAATTGAATTCCAATTACAGATGTACCAGTTGTCATTGGAGCCCTGTAAAATAAAACCAATTTCACTTTGTGAATAAGTCTACTGTAACGTTAAAATAAGGTTAGAAATGCATTGAATGATTCGAAACGTAAACATAAGTTCGAAAGATATATACTTTTCGCCAAATTGTAATTTTACGGGAGTATAAATAATTAGGGAAGTTTTAACTGATCCAAAACAGTGCATAATTAACATCCACGAGAAGCGACATGACATGCAATTTCTTATGAGTTAATATCGAACGGGAAATGAATATACAATAGAGACTTTACTGTGATCTTTGGAATCCTCCAACACTGGATTGCGTAGAATCTCCAGGAAAATTGTAAAATGCACCTGGTGACGGTCCATTTTGCCAAAACGGTGCAGGAGTATACCAATCACCTTTACTGAAGAGCGCCATGTTTTCAGTAGATTTCAGTAGTTTCAAACAGTTTGAAATGTCATCTACTTGAACTTCGGGCGCCTAACACGTTTACCCCCTAAAAGAATTCCTTAAAGTCCCTAGAGAAGTTGACTATTTGCTTTTTCAAATGACGATTGAATACTTTGATGATTCGATGATCAGGAGACTTAAAATTCAAGCAACGTAGAATATCAAGGGATTCAAGAATTTAAACATGTTTATTTGTAAAAGAAATCATTACACTATCATACTGGACATTACACGTGTCATTATATTACAGTTTTGTATAACATAAAGTAAAACAAATCAAAGGAAAATTACAGTGCTGTTATTATAATATTATAGATCGCCGTAGGGACTGCCGCATCGCACATTGTAAAATTGATCGCAGACTTGAAATTGTTGATTAAAAAGAGTCCCATTCACGCAGAGATGGCTGGAGACCAAATGTCCATCGTGGCAAAGGTGATATGCCTAAAAAATAAATTGTATTTTGTTCATAATTGTATGTTAATCTACTTCTGCATTAAAGAAGATTAATTATATTAAGTTGCTTTTAAAAAATATGATGATAACAAAGGGATCTATCTGCTATACCTATGATCAGCGCCATCTACGGCAGAACGCTCAAGTTTGTTCTCGAATAGTTCGCACTGTCACTGCTAGATGACGCCATTTGTGTAATTGAATAATAAATAATTTATTTAAGGGTTGAAAAATGATTTTCATTCATCTTTTAATATTACAATGCTTGTTCACTAATTTGTTTTTGGGCATAATTAAAAAAGAAATTGAACGTATACCCGTATCAACACCTGGTGGGGAATAACCGAACTAATTTCGGAGTTTGGTCAGCGCCTCTCTCGGGAAAACGCCCAAGTTTGTCCTCGAATAGTTCTCACTGACAACGCTAGACGGCGCCATTTATAAGGGTCGCAAAATTTTTTTTATTATATTAAAAAACAAATTAGTAGACAAGCATCGCAATATTAAAATATGAATGAAAATCATTTTTCAAACCTTAAAAAAATTATTTTTTATTAGATCATACAAATGGCGCCATCTAGCGTTGACAATGGGAACTATTCGAGGACAAGCTTGGGCGTTTTCCCGGTGGTGCGCTGTACGGAAGTCGGAATTTTAGTTCCACCTATCCCCCGCGAGATGGCTATAGCGTCGCTTGCCACGTTTTGGCGGGGTGATTCAATAAATATTTAAAGAATATGATTAAAAAAGTAAAGAGATGATTATATCAGATAGAATTGAGCCCAAAAAGAAACAGATTGATAAATTAAGTAGCTTTTCTACCTTACAAGGAAGGGTAAAACGGTTTTGGTGTATCTTTGTTTATTCTGACCATGATGTTAAGCTCATAAAATTATATAAGCTTCCTTAACAAATTTTCAAATGCAGGTTGCATTAATTTAGATCAGGGAGTAAAAATAACAGGAATAGTCTTATCTTCCTCCACTTTTATTATAGTTATCACTAAAAGAAGGAGTGCTGAATATACAGCAAGAAACATAAAGAGCTTTCCAATAAGACCGGTATATTTTCAAATAAGAATTTCATCCTGTTACTCAGTTTCACGGCTAACTATACAGGTATTGTAATTAAAATTGCCCTTACCTGGCACTGTGTGCTAAGATCCGCCCACAACTGGTTCTCCAAGCCCTGGCAAGTGAAACCGGTACGAGGCACCCTGCGATAAGTCGGATAAAGCGGTGGATTGTGGGGTAAGTGTAAATCGTGATAAGGATCGTACGGTGTTCCATCCTTGTTGAAATAGTGGCCACCGAACGCCATCGTCGAGAGGACTGAAGAGTTGAAAAATATTAGCTTAAAATGAGGGAAGAAGTCACCCCCTTGGAACACTATTTACTATAAAGAAAAAACATAACAAAAAGGAGCTTTAAATTTATGGTACTTACTCGTGAATACGATAAGGTGAACAAACATAGTCAGCGATGTTTAAGTACAATATACCAATTACCGCGTGTACTTAATATTGAAACTGCTATTAAAATAAATTTAGATAAAGTTCACCACATCATGGTTTTTAATCGATTAATATTTACTGTCGCGTTTCTTTTACGTTAAAATACAGAATCGCACAAGTTGAGACTCAATCGATGAGAGCTCGATCGAGGATTTCGGTGGTTCCTTTCGATTCGAACGCCGGTCAGGGACTGATTCCGAGGTAAACGTCGATTCAAGAAGTAAGTTCTGATTCGCGTGATAATTTAACTGGTCCTTGTTTGACAAAAATCGAGCCTAATTCAGCAGGCAAAGGGGGGGTTTACGTAACCCTCGAGCGTAACTCGATGCCGATGATCGATCTTTGTACGTGTGTGGAAGCCCCGAAATTACTGACCTACATTTTTTTCATAACAAACATTCACTTCCAAACTGGAGCAACGTGCTACCTCTCCGGCACCGCCTACATTTACAACACCGAAAAAAATGTCGTGTACGTGTAGCGACACTCGCAGCACGTTGCTGAAGAAATCTGGAAATATCGAGAATAAAAAAAAAAATATTGTGTATCGTTAGTTAGATTGTCTGGCTTACTCGTCATTATTTTAAAGAGTGTATCTTTACGAGAGGGTTTCTAAAAGGAGTAGATCAATGTTAAGGACGTATAATTCGTTAACGACTTTGTACAAAAAAACTTTTATTCTTCATTCTGTTTAAAGGATAATCTATAAAAACAGCGTTTTATAAAAGGAAATTAATATAAAAAGGAATTCTTTTAGAGGGTAAACGTGTTAGGCGCCCGAAGTTCAAGTAGATAACATCTATGCTCGATGTTATCGTGTTCTACTTCATGTTGCAACATAAGCGTGTCTTTGTCAACACGATATGGAAATGGTCTTGATAATTCACGGAGAAGGATCAAACGTCCTTAGGCAGTTTCCACTGGATCTCTGCCAATCTTGCACAATAGTTTGGCGCCAGCCTCCCACGTCCCTGTTTATCTCTTTTCGCTCCTTTTTCATTCCGGAGAAAAGGTATTTATGCCAAAAGTCGCCTTGAACAAACAAGGGAATTGGTAACAGAGATTCGTAGGAGTACGAACGTCTCGTCGCGGACAAAGGACGAAGAAAGAAATTAATTCGCTCGAACTAAATACACAGAACAACGTATCAGAATTATTTATGAAGCATGAGAAGTATTCATAACGTAAAGAAATACTCGCAAAGGGACTTTCCCTATAGGTCAGCCGATATTTAAATGAGCTTTTCACAAAGCTCGAAATGCCGAAGAGAAGCTATGCGTTACAAGGACTCCTTGCAACTGTGTATAAGCTGAGATGTTGTAAATCTAGTTTTAAATTCAATAAAACGATGCTACGAAGTATCTTTATGAAAGACCTTTATCTTTCCAATCATTTCAACGCTCTGTCGTTATCGATTAGGAAACTAGACAAGACTTCAGACGACGACCACTACAAGATAAACTGAAGTGTACCTGAAGTGTACCTGAAGTGTACCTGAAGTGCTCGCTTAAAAACAAACATACTTCTGAATTATATAGCCTGTACGTTTTCTATCGCAATTTGTAGACAAGGAGGAAAGAAAGAGTACGATTTAAGTTCATATTTCTATTCGTCTATACACTTTCTTACAATATGATCGGTTACGTGGTTTTTATTTATTCCTTATATACACGCA